CAAGCATGATAAAATGATAAAGAAAGTTGAAGGAAAAGACAGTGGTAAGAGCCAAAGGTCATGGAGCTTAGGCCTTACGGATAAGAAGGTTTGAACAAGTTTAGCTAAAGATAATACTATATTATATAAATGTAATTACATAGAATGTGCAATTGGTTGGTAGAAGGCTAAAGCCATGAAATTCAAGGGATTGACATCACGGATAAGAAGGTTTGATTCTTTCATCGGCTCTTTAAGTTTAAACCTTGAAGTCACTTATCACATTTGTGGCTTACCTTGAAATATTAAGTTTATAGGGTATTCAATGGACCATGAAGATTAGTTGAAGTACACGTAAACTGACTTAAACATTCCGATAAAAAAAAAAAAAAAAAAAAAAGTTAGAAGTCATGAAGTCGAGGTGAGGTGAGGTGTAGAGGCCCCAGTTAATCGATAAGAGCTTGTGGGTATTAAATAATTAAATTTTGTGAAGGAAGCAGCCAAAAGTTTAAGGATTATGCCTACCGCACGACAACAACATTAAAGTCGATAATGTCAAATGCAGTCCAATGTTTTTTATACGATAAATTAATACAAATATGCCCTTGTTCGGTCTTTCTTAAGTTTTGAGTGCATCTAGTCTACTTATTATAAACACACACGTGATACGACACAAGCACAACTCTGAACTGTAATTGGGCAAAAAGGGTTTTAGGTTGTGGCTTATGTAATGATTATTGGGATGGACAGGTAAGCATGATGACAGATAAGCGAAATAAATGCAGAGAAAGCTTTTAAAGTGGTTCGGATGCTAAGGTAGTAAATCTTACGTCCACTGATTTGTATTGATATTAGTGTGGGTCAGGTCGTCAAGCGGACTGACTTACAGAGGAATTATGAAAAGTAAGTGTGTTTACAGGAGAGAGAGTCTTTATAAGAATAGCCGAATCCCCTTAATGAAGGGGTCTTCCTCATTTTATACCAAGCTGAAGCGTATAATTATCATTAAATCCATCGGTTGGTGTGATTGTCAGGATATAATCCGGCTTTATGTCCCATTGCTCTCTTTCCAAGCTGATTTCGCATGATTTATTGCAGGGGATAGGGACGCATGTGAGCCCCATATCATGTAGCAGGTCTGACGTGTGTGTGTTGTCCTGACGGGAGCAGGTCACTCTTCACGTGACTTTCCCACGTCAGCCCTTATTTCCCAGGCATAACAAGTATATATGGATCCATGGATAGATAGGGATATGATTAATTTTAATCGACAAGCATGATAAAATGATAAAGAAAGTTGAAGCAAAGACAGTGGTAAGAGCCAAAGGTCGGAGCTTAGGCCTTACGATAAGAAGGTTTGAACAAGTTTAGCTAAAGATAATACTATATTATATAATGTAATTACATAGATGTGCAATTGGTTGGTAGAAGGCTAAAGCATGAATTCAAGGGATTGACATCACGGATAAGGAGGTTTGATTCATTCATTAACTTTTTAAGTTTGAATCTTGAAGTCGCTTATCACATTTGTGACTTACCTTAAAATATTAGGTTTATAGAGTATTCAATGGATCATGAGGATTAGTTAAGGTATACGTAAACTGATCTAGATACCTCGAAAAAAAAAAAAAAAAAAAGTTGAAGTCATGGAGTCGAGGTGAGATGAGGTATAGAGGCCCCAGTTAATGATAAGAGCATGTGGCCTGTGGGTATTGAATAATAAAATTGTGAAGGAAGCAGCCAAAAGTTTAAGGATAATGCCTACCGCACAACAACAACATTAAAGTCGATAATGTCAAATGCAGTCCAATGTTTTTTATACGAGAAATTAATACAAATATGCCCCCCTTCAGTCTTTCTTAAGTTTTGAGTGCAGCTAGTCTACTTATTATAACACACACGTGATACGACACAAGCACAACTCTGAACTGTAATTGGGCAAACAGGGCTTTAGGTTGTGGCTTATGTAATGATTAATGGGATGGACAGGTAAGCATGATGACAGATAAGCTGAACTGAAATTGTAGTAGAACACGTGCTGTGCACATCTCTACAGTGCTTGTGCTACAGCTTGCACACTCAGGCACGTGGCAGGTTAAAGTTGTAAGAGAATTGAAATAAAGCTGACAAATACGGTGACCACTTCTGCCTTTACTGGTATAAAACAAAAATATTATAATACTTGTCCAAACCAATACATTCACGTGCTTTCTAGTTACTTATTTTAAAAATTATTCTGATTGAATTTTTTTATTAAAAATAACTATTTATTGGTGATTGAGTAATTCGATAGTGACCTTTTGATATATTATCCAAGAGGTCATGAGTTAGAGTCTCTTCTTAGATGCTAATAAGGATAACTCTTATCCTATCGGTACTTCAGTATTCCGAGAGATTAGTTGAGATATGCATAAAATAATTTGGACACCCTCGATCATTATAAAAAAAAAAAAATTATTAAAATTCATTCTATTTTATTAGAGTATTGGATAGATATGAATGTTAAAATTCATTCTGTTTGATTAGTATTGGATAGATATGAATTGAATCTATTAGAAATGGGAAAGAAGAAGGAAATCGCAGGATTAGGGAAATTTTGTGACACTTACAATGTATCTAATTTTGAATGGTCAAATAAAGTTAATTTCCACAATAATTCAAATATATTGACAAAATTAAAAATAAAAACAAGTTGCAATTTGTCTTATATTAATGTAGGTTAAATATTTTATATTCAAACTGTAAAAATCAAAACTTTATACCTAAACCTGTGATAATTCACCATTAAAGGAGATATTTTAAAAAGACAAGCCTACCTCGTGACTCACGAGATCCTGGATAAGACTCTATCTAGTCTACAACCATTTTTGCTTTGTCTAATCTTATCTCCAAACACGCATTAAGGTCGTTTTCTTTGAATTAATGTATATCGAAATTAAAAAGAAAATTAAATAAACCAATTAGGCCCAATTTTTTTTTTTTTTTTTTAGATAATTGAGGCATTCATGCGAGTCTGTCTAATCTTCAAAGCCGCGTAACATTCTATAAGCCTAATTGACTAAAGTAATTATACAAATGTGATAGATATCTGACTCGAACATAAGTGATAAGACTTTCTGTGTATAGTTAACCCAATGACTAAAGGGTTTGTCATCGGATCATAAAGGGAGAGGTAATTGGACAAATTTTACTAATGAATAGGAAAATAAAAATACATTTATTAATTCGAATATACTTACCATTCTAGGAAATAATAGAATATTTGAAACGCTAAACAATTAAAGTAAATTTCTTTGTATGGTAGGTAATAAAAAATAAATCAATATCAAGTATATAAAGGAGGCGTTACAAAATTTCCTCCTCAAGGTTTGAGGAATGTGGAACACACCCAATGGTTTTGGATAATAGCAAATGCACCCAAAAAAGCGATATATTTATCGATAAAGACTATAATACCCTTTGCCTAAGTATATAGTCCTTTTCATTTTTATATCTTCAATTTTTATTTTAACTTTATAAAAATTGAAAAAAATAAAAACCGACAAGAATATGAAATTTTATTTTGAAAGGACTTTAATATCTTACTATCTTTTATCTTATTATACTTGACTCACCCATTGTATTCCATTCATTTTTCTTAAGGACGTAAATTAATTAAACTTATGTTTTTTCATTATTAGTTTATTGTACAAAATTAAAAAATTTAACTATTCATATATTTATTTTTATTATGATTTATTATTTAAATTTGTTAATAATTACTATTTATATAGTTAAAATAAAAAATAACAACTGAAAATAATATAAAATTAGACAAAGAATATTATGATAAAGTAATTAATTTTTTGGGTATATTTGTTACTATCCGAAAACCTTAGGTGCTTTTATTTTCTTTAAACATGGAGGAGGAAATTCTTGTAAACCCCTCAACCAAATTTATAATGAGTAAACGACTTTTTCCTACCCAAATAATGGTTTAATAACACTTTTTCATCCACAAACTTTTAAAATACCACTTTATTACCCAAATTTATATTCCGTTTCTGATTCTAGCATTGTTGCGATCCCCAACACCACCACCACCATTCTCTTCCCTGATCATCATTCACCAAAATCTCTCAAACCCTACTCCCATCGACCCCACCAATCGCCAACAATTGAGCAATTAGTGTTTGTGTAGCCATCTCTTCCAAGTCAAATTCCGATCAATCTCAACAACCAAAATCCAACTTTTCATTAGCCTTCCCTCTTCAAAAGCTTCAACAACTTGAACTAAGTTTACTCTCTATTCGCCATCAAAATATGTATTTGGGTAGTAAAATAATATTTTAAAATCTATGAGTAAGAAAGTGTCATTAAACCATTATTTGGGTGAGAAAATGTCGTTATCTCATTTATAATACTCTAAAAATAAAGAAAAATAAATTAATTAAAAAAAAAAAAAAAAACAAACCCTATGTCATTGGAATGACGACATGATTGAAGACATCCTCACTCTGGTTATTTTATTCTAAACCAAATTGACATTTGACAAAGATTTTACTAACAAAATAACACGCGGAGGCCGGAGGCTGGTAAGATTCTCTGACCCCACATCCCTACTGTACAAGTACACTATATTAAGCTCTGATAATTAATATTAAAGTTATAAAAAATTTCTGTAATCTTAATCCATGAAGGGTTGATTGAAGAATTGTCAGCGATAGAGAAACATGTGGTATTTTAACATGAAAGAAAGATGCGTTCGATGTTGATGGTTTTTGCTCTGTTTATTTATTTATATGATTCCATAGTCCCACTATTCTCCTGCAGTGTGCAATCCACTCACCTCTCACCTCTCTTGCCGCTTGCAATTACATTCACGATTCCTAAGTAACCACGTGCTGCTTTCTGCAAAGTTTTAACAGGTTTGCTCCTGTTCCTGTTTCTGCACTTTTGTATAAATCTATCTCTATCCCCGTGATATTATAATCCTTCTCTTTTTTTTTTTTGAAGCTTTTTCTGTTTATCTCAACTGGGTTCTTCGTGATTTATATTTGTTTGTTTTCTATGTTTTGTTTTTGCAGGTTTTGGTCATTGGTGTTAAATGGAGATGGGATTTTTGAAGGGTTTAGAGTTACCTCCAGTGGAAATGTTATTAGAAGTTGTCAATGCAGCTTTCTTCATGGGGTTGCTCTCATGGATTTTCATGGAATTTTTCAGACGTCGGAGAGATCATGATGGTGATGTACAAATGGTAGATAGAGTAGTTGGTGAAACAGTGAACGTGTTTAGGATCATTACTGTTCTTTGTAATGTCATAATCTCTATTTCATATCTGGGTTTTGGTTTCTATGAATATTGGAATCAGAGTATTGTTTCTTTTGAATCTGTCACCTTGGTTCTAACTTGGGTTTTAGCAACTGCAGTTGTATTCTATGCTAAGAATCACACAACTATTAGAGAGCATAAAATCAGAAGGTGGCCAGTAGTTCTAATTCTGTGGTGGGTCTTTTCTTTCATCACTACTTTGCTTTCTGTTTCCGTTTACCTTTTAGTCCATTTGAGATCTATAGAAGTGCCTCATATTTTACCAGAAGCCGAACCTGTTGATTTCATATCCTTGCCTTTTTTGATAATGCTTTGTCTCAATGCCCTCCCTGGAAGTTGTAATAGGAATCTCCATGACCTTGAACATCCATTACTTCAAAAAGAGAATAAGAATTCCTCTAGAGATGCTAATAGTTTTGCAAATGCTGGAGTTTGGAGCAAACTCACATTTCGGTGGCTAAATCCACTTTTTAAAAGGGGCAGAACTCAAAAACTTGAATTGCCTCATATTCCTTCTATTCCTCATTCCGAAACGGCAGAGAATGCTTCATGTTTGCTGGAAGAATCACTTCAAAAACGGAAAATGGAATCTTCTTCATTGCCAAAAGTTATAATTTATACTGTTTGGAAATCTCTAGCCACAAACGCGGTTTTAGCAGGTACACCCTTTTAGTTCTTGGTTACTTCAAATTATAGATTTTGTATAACAAATTTTTACATGATTTTAGTTAATTTTATTCGTTTTTGCAGGAATCAATACGGTTGCTTCCTATGTTGGTCCTCTTTTGATCACAAATTTTGTCAATTTCTTATCCGGAAAGCATGACGATTCTAGTTCCTACAATGGATTACTTCTAGCCTGCATCTTCTTCTTTTCAAAGACAGTGGAGTCATTAACTCAACGACAATGGTATTTTGGTGCTCAACGTATTGGCATAAGAGTCAGGGCAGCTCTCACTGTATTGATTTACAAGAAATCTTTATCGATCAAGTTTGTTGGTCCCAGTAGTGGTATAATAATAAATATGATCAATGTGGATGTCGAGAGAATTGGAGACTTCTGCTTGTACATTCATGGAATTTGGTTGCTACCAGTTCAGGTGTTTTTGGCTCTTGTCATCCTGTACAGGAATTTGGGTGCTGCTCCCGCCGCTGCTGCTCTCTTTTCTACAATTTTGGTGATGGTGAGTAACACACCATTGGCAAATAGGCAAGAGAGGCTTCACTCTAAGATCATGGAAGCCAAGGACTCGAGAATTAAAGCAACTTCAGAGACTTTGAAGAGCATGAGGGTTCTAAAATTGCTTTCCTGGGAATCCACATTTTTGAAGAAGCTTCTCCAACTTAGAGAAATTGAGAGACTTTCACTGAAGAAATACCTTTACACATGCTCAGCAGTAGCCTTTCTCTTTTGGGCTTCACCAACCTTGATTTCAGTCATCACTTTTGGCGTTTGCATTTTAATGAAAACACCATTAACATCGGGTACGGTCCTCTCAGCTTTGGCAACTTTTAGAATTCTCCAAGAACCTATATACAACTTGCCAGAGCTCATTTCCATGACTGCTCAAACCAAGGTCTCGGTTGATCGCATTCAAGAGTTCTTAAGAGAAGAAGATCAAAAGAGGTCAATACCTGATCATAGATCAAAGGCATCTAACACTGCGGTTGAGATTGAAGTGGGGGAATATGCCTGGGAAACAAGTGACCAGAACTTGAAGAAATCCACAGTCAAAATTGCAGAGAAGATGAAAATAATGAAAGGCTACAAAGTTGCAGTCTGTGGATGTGTTGGGTCAGGCAAATCAAGTCTACTCTGTAGTATACTTGGTGAGATTCCAAAGATTTCTGGGACTGGAGTTAAGGTTTATGGAACAACAGCTTATGTTCCCCAGAGTGCTTGGATTCAAACTGGTACTATCAGAGAGAATGTGTTATTTGGCAAGGACATGGATAAGTCTTTTTATGAGGATGTTTTAGATGGATGTGCTTTAAACCAGGATATTGAGATGTGGGTTGATGGAGATCTTAGTGTGGTGGGGGAGAGAGGGATGAACCTCAGCGGTGGACAGAAGCAGAGGATTCAACTGGCTCGAGCTGTATATAATGATTCAGATGTTTATATCTTGGATGATCCTTTTAGCGCTGTTGATGCACATACAGGAACACATTTATTCAAGGCAAGCAACATCTTATTATTGTCTTTAGCTTTATCTTTTCCATTCATATGCCAGTAAATTTTGTGTTTGTGTTTTATAAAAAGTTACCTTGAATTTGAATTTTCTGTTTTGCAGGAATGTCTCATGGGGCTTTTGTCTCAGAAGACTGTGATTTATGCTACCCATCAATTAGAGTTTTTAGATGGTGCAGACCTTGTTCTGGTAAGTATCATGAGTTTTTTAGGCCATATGCCTTAGGTGTATCCTCCCAAGCTTTATATATCTTACTAAGATGCAACTTTTATAGGTGATGAAAGATGGCAAGATTGTTCAGTCAGGAAAATATGAAGATTTGTCATCTGATCCCAATGGTGAACTTGTTAGACAAATGAATGCCCATAGAAAATCACTGGACCAAGTGAACCCGCCTCAAGAAGATAGTTCCTTGACCAGGATACCCTGCCAGATAGGTCAAAATGAAGTCACGGAAGAGAGATTTTCCCGGCCTATTAACTATGGCAATTTCTTGGAGAGGAGTCAGGAAGATGAAACGAAAACTGGTCGAGTGAGATGGAGTGTTTACTCAACCTTTATTACTTTGGTTTGTAAAGGGGCTCTTGTTCCGGTTATCCTTCTCTGTCAAGTCCTTTTCCAGGGACTGCAGATGGGAAGCAATTATTGGATTGCCTGGGCAACTGATGAGAAGCGTAAGGTCAGCAGAGGGCAGTTGATAGGAGTATTTGTCTTGTTGTCAGGTGGGAGCTCTGTCTTCATATTGGGGAGAGCAGTTTTGTTGGCAACTATTGCAATGAATACTGCTCAGCGTCTCTTCCATGACATGATTACTTCTGTTTTCAGAGCGCCCATTTCATTCTTTGACTCCACACCTTCAAGCCAGATCCTCAACAGGGTCAGTTTTGTTGTTTTTGCTCTCTACATTGGTTGTGCGTATGTCCAGAATTAATCCTCAATTTTTTCTTTTTGGTCATTGTAGTCTTCCACAGATCAAAGCTCAGTGGACACAGACATTCCCTTCAGATTAGCTGGGTTGGCATTTGCACTAATTCAGCTATTAAGCATTATCTTCCTTATGTCCCTGGTTGCTTGGCAGGTCTTCTATCTCTTCCTTATCATCCTAGGAATCTCCATATGGTATCAGGTAAAAACAAAATCTTTCTTTCAATTTGTTATTTTTCTTTCTTTCAAAGAATAAATCTGTGACACACAACACTGGATGCAGATTCTTTGTAAATCTTTACATGGTTCGCACTGTATTATTCTTATTCTTCCATCTAGTCTTCATTAGTTATAGTTGAAGTGTTTCGTTATCTTTTGCAGGCTTATTATATTACCACTGCTAGAGAATTAGCAAGGATGGTTGGGATTCGAAAAGCTCCAATCCTACATCACTTTTCTGAATCCATTGCAGGTGCAGCAACAATTCGTTGTTTTAATCAGGAAGATCGCTTCTTGATGAGGAGTCTTGGCCTGGTTGATGATTATTCTCGCATAGCTTTCCACAACTCGGGCACAATGGAATGGCTGTGTGTTAGAATAAACTTTCTCTTTAACTTTGTTTTCTTCCTTGTTCTGATCATATTGGTGACCTTTCCCCTAGCCATTGATCCTAGTAAGCTCCTCCATTCCCTCAAAAAAGATTCTAATTCAGTCTTTTATGATCACATCATGAATCAAAATCTATTTTATTCCAAGAAAAAACATAATGATTGTTGTGTTCAATTTTTCCTCAGGTTTGGCGGGACTTGCAGTCACCTATGGTTTGAACCTAAATGTTCTGCAGGCTTGGGTGATATGGAACCTATGCAATGTTGAGAACAAAATGATATCGGTTGAGCGAATTCTTCAATTCACTAACATACCAAGTGAAGCTCCCCTGGAGATTAAGGATTGTAGACCTGATTCTGAATGGCCAACCAGTGGAAACATTGAACTAAAAAACCTTCATGTCCAATATACTCCATCTCTTCCTATGATTCTCAAAGGAATAACCTGCACCTTTCCTGGAGAAAAGAAAATAGGAGTTGTGGGCAGAACAGGGAGCGGAAAGTCAACTCTAATTCAAGCTCTCTTCAGGGTGGTGGAGCCTTCAGAAGGACAGATTCTGATTGATGGAATAGATATTTCAAAGATCGGCTTGCAAGACTTGAGGTCCAGGTTAGGTATAATTCCACAAGAGCCAATGCTGTTTCAAGGCACTGTAAGGACCAATATAGATCCTTTGGAACAACATTCTGACCAAGAAATATGGGAGGTTGTAAATAAGTGTCATCTTTTAGAAATAATAAGGCAGGATCAAAGGCTTCTAGATGCACCAGGTGAGTTTTAGTCCCCAACCGAACTAGTTTATTTTTTTATAATTGCTTGGATAATTAAAATTTGAATCTGGGAAATTGTGCAGTTGCCGAGGATGGTGAAAACTGGAGTGTAGGACAGAGACAGCTTGTCTGCCTGGCTAGGGTGCTCCTGAAGAAGAGGAGAATCTTGGTGTTGGATGAGGCCACGGCTTCCATTGATACAGCCACAGACAATGTGATTCAGGAGACAATAAGAGAAGAAACAAGTAGATGCACTGTCATAACAGTGGCTCATAGAATCCCCACAGTTATTGATAATGATTTAGTTCTTGTTCTTGACGAAGGTAAGCTGAAACAACCCTTCTGTGAATGAGTGTAATGGGAAGATGAAAAACATATCATAATTATAAAACAGATACTTTGATAAATGCAGGGAAAGTTGCAGAGTATGACTCTCCAGCGAAATTACTCGAGAGCAATTCATCTTCATTCTCAAAGTTGGTGGGAGAGTTCTTGAGGAGATCCTCCAAGAGTAACCGCAATAGGGATCAATCATGAACTTCAATCATATGTTAATATTGCAACACAGGGAGCATAATCATAGGGATTGAAAATTGAAACGGAAGCGAAACTCGAAGATCCTCCAATAATGATAACAGCAATAGTGCTAACATCTGACCAAAGTTACAAGGTCCAATAATGATAACAGAAGCAAATATAAAATACCAGGACGCATTTTTAACATCAGTCGTTAGACTAACATCGCAGTTGTACCATATGTAAGCTAATGCAATGTAAAGTTGTTGCTCTATAATATAATGAGCTCCAGATTCTCAAAGATCGGTTGTCAAAACTGTGGTTAAATTATCCCATTAACATATTCCATCGTTTATACGGGAAAATAAGATTAAAGAATTAAAGAATTATCGCTCTTTTTTTTTTTTTTGGGTTTGGATATCCAGAGGTGTCTGGGTCAGCTTACGCGGACCTCAACTAAACCCCAGGACCCTAAAGTTAATGTTCAGGTAGCCTTTAGTGGCTAACTCTTATTAGTAGTCGTGGGGATTCAAACTCAGGACCTCATTAATCGCTCTCTTTCTTTATTCAAATACGAAGGAAACCAAGAAAAGATTTACTTGACATTAACCTTAATGGATTGTTACTCAGGAAATCAGCTCTGAATCAAAATTTATACAGAAAGAAGCTTTTCAATTACTTCTCTTGTGAAAGTTTAACATATTGAAGTGCAGTTGTGCACACTTCTGTTTGTCTGGACTAATCAATTTATCCGCATGATTGGTTCTAATTCATGATGGCAAAAACCAAACTTATAAAATTTCGAAGAATTGCAGATCAATCAAGCAAAAAAGTGAGGCTGAAGCATTTAATTAATACTTACATAGTCATGAATAAACCAGAGAGTACAACTTCACTATAAATTAACAGATGAGAATCATAATATTAATTCCATGATCCATCAAGGGTTGATTGCAGAAATGAATATGAGCAATACATAGTTTTGCTTTGTAAATGTATATTATTCCGCAGTCCCTTCAACACATATCTTGCAGTTCATAATTATTTCTCTTAGTGGCTGCAACTACGTACACTGACTACTCTTTGAGAAGCTTTCTGCAGGTTTTGTCATTGGAGTTTGTCAATGTAGCTTTTTTCATAGGGTTACTCACATGGGTTCTGAAAGAAATTAATGTACAAATGGGACATCTAGGAGAAAGGGATGTGAAAGTGATTAGCACTATTGAGTACTTTTCTTTGTAAATACATGATCACTGCATCTGCTAATCTGTCTTCACAGTTATGACTGGGGTTTTAAAAGGTGAGGTTTAGTCCTCATAGTGGGGTGAGTCTTTTCATTCATTATTGATTTGATATCCATAGAATTGCTTCATATTTTTCCAGGCCAACCCTGTTGATTCTGTTTCCTTCCCTTCGTTGATACTGCTTTTGATTCAATGCTGTAACCGATAAGTTGTAATAGGAATCTCAAGGACCTTGAACCTCCATTACTTCAAAAGGAGGACTTTTCCACAACAATCAGCATTACACTGGCGAAATGGTTGTGTAACATTTCCAAAGGAATAAAGTTTTTATTCTTACCTCCCATATTTCTTGGTCAGAATGCTGTTCCAAAGGATCTACATCGGTCCTTAAAAGTTCCTTGAAACAGGCATTGGCTCTTGTGGGATTATATCTAACCTGGACCTCAATTGTTTCAAACCTATGTTTGAAATATCTATACCGTCATCGGAATCTGTCCTTACATTGGCACTTGTGGTTTTGGTGGAGCCTTTAGAAGGACAAATTCTGATGGATGGATTAGATATATCAAACATAGGTTTGCAAGATTTTAGGTCAAAGGTTAGGTATAATTCCTCAAGAAACCAGGTTGTTTCAAGGATTATAAGGACCAATCTGGATCCTGTGGAACAGCCATCTGATCAAGAAGATGAGAGATAAGAATCAAAACTCTATTCCATTTGAAAATATTCTTTTCACTAAATAAGGCACGATCTAAGGCTTCTTGATGCACCAGATGAGTTTTAGTCTCCTACAGGTACTGTTTTTTTATTAATTGCTTGGATTATTAGTATTTGAATCTGGGAAATTCTGCAGCTGCAGAAGATGCAAAAAACTGGAGTGTTGGACTGAGGCAGCTTGTCTTCCTGGCTAGGGTGCTTCTGAAGTAGAGGGGAATTTTAGTGTTGGATGAGGCCACAGCTTCGGTTGATGCAGCCATGGACAATGTGAGCCGGGAGACAATGAGAGAAGTAACAAATGGATGCAGGGTCATCACTGTGCCGCATTTAGTGAGTGTACACCAAACTCAAAGCATTTTGTGAAATTAATAGCATCTTTATAGGAATCATCATCCTTATTTTGAAGTAATGGATGTTCAAGGTCATTATGATTTCCAGTGCAATACAGGTAGAGCATTGAAATGAAGCACTATCAACTAAAGCAAGGAAACAAAGTCAACATGATTGGCTTCCGGCAAACTATGAGGCAATTCAGTGGACCTCAAATGGGTTATTAGGTAAACAGAAACACATCAAATCCATACTATACGTCAAGAGAGACCTTGGTTTGAGATACTGAAATGGAAGAAATACTGAAAGAGGACACCTTTTTTATCAACAGTTCATACATTGCCAAAGCAGGTTGATTATATGAAGTAAATGCAATTCAAAGTAGTAGCTCTATGATACTATAAGCTCCTAATTTTCTGGTTGGTTTTTTAATCAAAATACACCATTGACAAGACATCGAGCATATAGTTCATGTTGTTTAAAGGGTCAATTGATCCAACACCGTATTAATATATTAGAATAATTAGGGAATAAAACCATTTTATTTCGGATCTAAATAGTTGATTTGGTTTTAAATGGAATGGCAAAACATTTGGTGTTTGAGCAATGATGAATATGGAAAATATTTAGTCAAGATGATGTTTATTATTCCAAATATTGAGAACAAATGTGCGAAGATGAATAATGTTGTCCTGCACATTGTGTAAGGTAAAAACTTCACTTGGGAAGGTCTGGATTAGAGAAGAAGTTGTTAATGGATGGCATGATTTGAGGAGCTCTCTGGCGAACAAACTTCCTCAGCCCGTGTTCTGCATATCTCTTACCTTCTTCAAAGTTGTCAAGCACTCCTGCACTTCTCTTCTCTTTCAATAGCCTGATCATATATGTCAAAAACTTATTTAACAAAACTAACCATTAATACGACTGATCAGTAAACCATACATATACCTGACTTCAGGGTTGATGCAGATATTCCTGACAAGTTGAAAGCTGCACATGCCAACCGCTGCGCCCAATGCTCCAAGGAGTGGATACACCTAACCAATTCAGGATTTTATAACATTTATACTCATATCAACTAACAGGTAAACTCATCACTTCAGGATTTAATAAACCAATTCAGGGTCTATGCTTTTGTAACATTAGTAAAAGTTTTGAGGACAAATTATAGGAAAATGACTACCTCGGGTCTAATCCATTTGCTTCCAGCCATGTTATATTAAGTGCAAGAGATTGAAGTAGAGAAGAGATCACGTAACCCCTTCTCCCTGAAAACCTGAAGAAGACACAAAACAGAACAAGTAATACAGCTTTTTAAATCAAATTGGTGACTGATACTGGGTTTGACAGAAAACTCCTGCGGAAAATGAGGGTAGCTTGTGAGTGAAGGAAAAGACAAGGTCAGAAATTCCCTGCTGGTTCTCTTTCTCCAACCATTTCGTGAATTCTACATCAATCAACACACGACATTCAATAGGATCCATAAGATTTCCCACCTTAATTTAGTTTGACTGTACCAGCTTAAACTGTTTAAGCCTAAAATTGAACCACAACTTCGGATCCATGTATTTGTTCTTGTAATTGCATGTTGACCAAGCAATGACAAGAAGTATCAAATCTGTATATTAATTAATTACTGACCAACTTAGATCATTGTCTTCTAAACTGGAAAAGAACAGATGGGGAAGTGTCAGTGTCAAGATTAGATCACAGATTGGCATCCTGAAGTGAAGGGATGACTTTATCAATTGAATGACCGGCAAGATAAGTTGACTACCTGATAAGCCCGCGTGGGTATGGTGAAGTGGTTGTGACTTCATATGCCATGCATTCCGAAATGTCAACTATTCCAATATCATATTCATAGATCTTCATTATGTTTGTTATTTCATTAATATAAGCAATAAGGTGTAGTAGGTTTGGTAGGTTTGATATTTATATGCTGTATTTGTTACAAACTTGTTTATTGAATAATAAAAGGTAGTTCATTTTCCTTTAATCACTGTGGGTTGACCTAATAGTCAAAGAAGTTTGTTTCCTTTATTGACTTCTTTAGATTTAAACCATTTTAGGATCACCTACTAAAATTACGGTTTATCTTGGAACAGGCTTGTAAATTTGGAATCAAAACTAGAACCGGCCAGTTTCGATTCCTAGAAACTTGGAACCAGAACCTGAAACATAGGTTCCAGTTTCGAGTACTCTAGTTAATTCAAATTACCCCGTACTTTTAAAAAAATAATAAATATACCCCTAACAATTTATAAAATTACAATTCAATCTCAATTTCTACCCAAGTACTCAGACCTTAGTTCCGGTTTCGGTTCTCGGCTCCATCACTGTAAGAATTGGAACTGGACCGCAGAATTTCCTATTCTAATTTTTCAGAATTGAAATCGGAACTTAATGAGGTTAGTTTTATATATATATAAGTTGACAAACACTTCTTATAATTTTCTCTCACAAATACTGACGTGACAGTTTATAATTGGTCAAATGAAACCCATTGTTGAGAGATAAAACTCATTACAAGTTACTACGTCGCGTTTATGAGAAAAAGCTAGTGAGAATGGTTACTGACTATATATATATATATATATATATATATAGCTTTGTGTGTTACATCATTTGTGATTTAACATTGTAAAACGAATTCAATCAAGTAGAAAAAACATTCTCGATCGTTAATACCCATGATAAAATTTGGCTTGCTGACCAAGCATAGAATAAATCTAGAAGCATAGGAATTGCATGGTTCATGCTATGGACTTTTCATTTTTAATTGGCTTTTTACTATTGACGTGTAAAGCTCTAATTGGTCAACAGCTAAAGTTTTCTCCTTTCGACTTTTATAATTAATGAAACTGTCAAACCTAAACTCTTTTGTGACAGGCAAAGAGCTCCAGCGACAGCCCACTGAGACTGACTGTTTGCCCATAGGATCGAACCTCCACAAACTCGAATATTCCAACAATTACAAAACCACCCTAATCCCCACTCTCATTTCCACCAAGTATTAAAAACTCGCTCCCAAAAACCTCTCCCACTGTCCCACATCATAATCTTCAGCACGTGAAATTCAGTCGCCGTAGAATCACGTGAACTCACCTTGTTCAACTTCAACTAAATCAGCGGCTGGAAAACAGAGACTATTTTAATCAGCGGTAAATTTCTTTCTTTTTGTCCAAGGAAAAAGTCACGTGACCTCTCATCCTCTCCTCCCTTTAAATAACCCATAATTTGCCCTTACTCCCTCACACTAAAGTAAACTAAATCTCACCTTTAAAGTTTAAACCTCGCTTCATTTCTTCGATATCATCGATGGGTAATCTCTTGTGAAATTTAATTTCTTCTTCTTTTTTTTTTCTATTAATTTTAATTTTTTTTCTTAATGTTCTTCTTTTCGTTTCTTTGATTTGTTCAGCCGGAGACAAGAAGATTAAGATCGGAAATTAAAAACGGGTAGTTTTTTGTTTTTTAAATCTTGATTTGATTGATAAAGATAATTAATACGAAGAAGAGTTTTAGTTAAATCTATTTAAATTAATTGTGATTTGGTTTTGGAAAAATGTGTTAGGTTTTGGAAGGATCGGTCGTTTGGTTGCAGAGTTGCTCTGCAGAGGAACGATGTCTAGATTGTGGCTGTTAACGATCCCTTTATCACAACTGATTACATGGTGAGTTCATTATGATAATTGCAAATCATGATTGTTTATATTAGATTCGTTAACTGTAGATTTGGTTTTAATGTTGTTTGAAATGATTATGCAATGCAGACCTACATGTTTAAGTACGACAGTGTTCACGGTCAGTGGAAACACCATGAATTGAAGGTCAAGGATGAAAAGACCCTCCTCTTCGGTGAGAAGCCGGTCGCTGTTTTCGGTGTCAGGTATATTTTATTTTATTTTATTTTTTTCTCTTGCTTGTTAGGGAGTGTATAAAATGTTTTGTTTATATGTTCATTTTTGTGATCTTAAAGGAACCCAGAGGAGATTCCATGGGCTGAGACCGGAGCCGAGTTTGTTGTTGAGTCAACTGGAGTGTTCACTGACAAGGACAAGGCTGCTGCTCACTTGAAGGTTTGTTATTATTATTGTAGATATTGGTTAATTTATTCAATCAATAGATAGTGAATTTTTTGAATTGTGACAATGTTTCTTACTTACTGTTGGTGTTGACTTGGAATGAGTTGTTGTTCAGGGTGGTGCCAAGAAGGTTGTTATCTCTGCCCCAAGCAAAGATGCTCCCATGTTTGTTGTGGGTGTCAATGAGAAAGAATACAAGCCAGAACTTAACATTGTTTCAAATGCTAGCTGCACTACCAACTGCCTTGCTCCTCTCGCAAAAGTTATCAATGACAGATTTGGAATTGTTGAGGGTCTTATGACCACTGTTCACTCCATCACTGGTAAGCTATTGGCTACATGGGTGTTATTCATTATATGCTACAATAAAAAATGAGGTGAAACTTAATTGTCTATGATTTGGTTTAATGTTATCCAGCCACCCAGAAGACTGTTGATGGACCATCAATGAAGGACTGGAGAGGTGGTAGAGCCGCCTCCTTCAACATCATCCCTAGCAGCACTGGAGCTGCCAAGGTATGCTCAATTGATTGGTTGATTCATTTGTTTTGTTTATGGTATACTTGTTCCCAAACTCTAACACATCGAGTTTACCATTGTGATCCATGCAGGCTGTCGGAAAAGTTCTGCCTTCCCTCAACGGCAAATTGACTGGCATGTCTTTCCGTGTTCCTACCGTCGATGTTTCAGTGGTAGACCTCACTGTCAGACTTGAGAAGGAGGCAACCTATGATGAAATCAAAGCTGCCATCAAGTATGAGGATAGATTGTTATATTTAATGTTTCTGTTCTATCATATTGGTTCAAATGTTAAACCATTTCTACTGGTGTATTTGTTTTATATCCTTTCTAATTTTGTTTATAACCTATAATTTGATACTCAGGGAGGAGTCTGAGGGCAAGCTTAAGGGCATCTTGGGATACACTGAAGATGATGTTGTATCCACAGATTTCGTGGGTGACAGCAGGTAATTAAGATTTTCTTTTGTCTCTATATCTTGGTTTCCTGATATCATCATTTTAGTTCTTTGCTTTCTAACATCTTAAAGCTAAAGATTATTATTGTTAAAGAGTAATTCTATGGTAACTCTAACATTGATGTGGGATGATTGTTTTTCTCAGTATGGACAATGACTAGTTTAGATTGCCTATGTATATGCTTATATATTAATATGTGTGGGGGTTGCTGTGCCAATGCAGGTCAAGCATTTTTGATGCCAAGGCTGGTATTGCTTTGAACAAGAACTTTGTGAAACTTGTGTCTTGGTATGACAATGAATGGGGATACAGGTAATGCAAATCTTCTTTCTTCATGATGTGTTCCAAATAGTCTTTGTTTCTTTCATTCGATGTGTAAACAATTTCATCGATTTTGTCAATTAATGACTTGTTATTTGGTTTTGCATTGCAGTTCACGCGTGATTGACTTGATTGTCCATATGGCATCCACTGCTTAAAAGGTTAAAGTTGCGGATAATCCGAATTCCGAGGAGTTGTTTTTCATGTTTTGGTCGAGTTTAGTGTTTAAGACATGGATCTGGAATAAGATGAGTTGGGATTTTGTTTTAGATGTTTAATTGTGAATCTGGTTTTTCCTTTTTTCTTTCCCCATTTGCGGATTTCGAAGGGGATTGTGAACAATTTCATGGTTTTATAAGCCATACATGTTTGGTCTATATATATGAATGACTCAGTGCTTCTGTATAAAGACAGACAAACCTGTAACCGATTTCAAAATCTTCATTTCAATAATCAAAAGCAGATTTCAAAGTCTTAATTTCAATAATCAAAAGCAGAATTTGTTGTTTCATGAAAACTGAACCTGGAGTCCTAGACTAGATTGTATACAGCGACATGAATTGAAACTTAACGATGAAATCCAATAGAAAAGACAGAATCTGCTCGTTAGGAACTTAGGATGGACATTGCTTAATTACTACCTCTCGTTTTCATGAAATAACACATTCTGCTTAATTACCTGTTGTCAACCACAAAGAAGAATGGCTACAACATCATCTTCAGTGTATTTTCCTTAATTATTTAAGAGTAATGTTATATTTATATCATCTTTTATATCATTTTCATTACACTATCATAATTTTACTAATAATTATTTTATTATAATATTAAAAATTAAAAATAATTAAAAATTTATGTAAATGTAAGATATGTCATATCATGGTATAATGAAAATAGTGAAATAAGTGGTGTAAGTGTACATTACTCATTTCCTAATACTTAAAAAGGACTATGCACCGAAGATGATCTTGTAGCCATTCAGTATAGGATGTGATAGGTGCCAATTCTTTTCTCTTTCTTTCTTTTAAAGAGAAAGATACGAGTGAATAACTGAATTGTGATTTTAAAGTTTCACTATATATTACTCCCTCTGTTTTTTTTTTTTTTAAATGTCATTTTAAGGGTGTAATTTTTTTTTCAAATTAAATGTCGCTTGTCTTGTCTATGATAATAAAAGAGAGAAAATGACAAAATATATATATATATAAAATTCAATGTGTGTAGTGAGCCGTAAAATCAGAGCAAAGCTTTTTCCACCTGCAAAATCAGAAGAAAAAGTCAGGTGGGAGAGAGATGAAATTTTTTTATTAAAAGTTGTGTACAAACTTAAAAAGTCATTTATATTGAAACAGAGGAAGTATATAATACCAATATGAATAATATCTCACGATTTTCAATGTATTTCCTTCGTTTCAATATGAATGATTTTTTAAGTTTTTACATAATTTTTAATGAAAAAATTTCATCTCTCTCCCACTTGACTTTTTCCTCTCATTTTGCAGGTGGGAAAAGCTTTGTTCTGATTTTACAAGTAGGAAAAATTTCTCGGTTGTACACATTGAAAATATATTATATATATTATATATATATATATATATATAATATTATATATAATATATATATATATATTATATATATACCTTTTCTTTCTCCTTATCACAATAAGACAAACACACTTTAATTTGAAAAAAGTTACCCTTGGGACGACATTAAAAGAAAAAAAAATAGAGCGAATATTATTTTTCAAGTATCACCCTAGCCCTTTGACGTCGTTTAAATCTGTTAAGAAATGAAGGGCAAAAAAACTTTTTTCTTTTTTTTTATAACTAAAGAGAGAAATGGTTTTGATTAAAATAAATAAGGACTTATAATAGCGGCCTCTCCACCACATCCCACCCTCCCCCGCCCGACCCTCCTCGAACCTCTGCCTCGCCTCATTCTGTGTAGCCACCCGTCGCTCCACCCGCTTACCCCAGCCACTATCACAGACAAAAAAAGTTTACAAATGCCCAATTCTGTGGTCCGATGAGCATATACCCAAGATTTGACTTAGTTGAGAGAGTTGTGAATTTCGATCACTGGAAATCCATCATGTGAATTTTAAAGTAAGCATGTGATAACCTTTTTTTTTTTTTTTTTTTTCGCTCTTCCTTTCTTTCTGAAAATCTCGGTGGCTAGGTCACCTACGCCGTCCAAACCAACAAAACTCTTCACAAATCGTTGGATTTTGTTATGGTATTTGTTTGTCAATAACACTACGACACCGAAAAGTTATACCGAATTTCTGTACCGCCTACGTGTAACGCGCGTCTCCATTTTTTTAACATTTTTTTCTAGTGAACGGCCGTCCCTCGAATTTGGACAGCTATTCACTCACATGGACGCCCGTCCATATACAAGGACGGGCGTCCACATTTAAAGGACGCCCATCCCTGATTAAAATACAATTAAAAATTTGTAAAACCTTAGGGATGACCGTCCATCCATTATGGATGGCCGTCCATCCATTATGGACGGCCGTCCATTAATTTTGGACGGGTGTCACAAAATATGGACGCCCGTCCTTCACCCAAATATGAAAAAAAAAAAAAAAATTTCTTTGGCGACGCCCTCCATGCATTTGGCTTTTACAAATTTAAATAAAACGGACGCGCCGTCCACAATTTGTGAACGGCCATCCTTTTATGTGGATGGGCGTCCGTAAGTAATGGACGCCCGTCCAAGAGTAATTCGTAATAAAAAAAAAAATTAACATTGGACGGCCGTCCCTAACTTGTGGACGGTCGTCCTTCATTGTGGACGGGCGTCCATACTAAATGGACGGCCGTCCATAATGTTATTAAAATAAAAAAAAATTTCGCGTTTTTTTAATAAATATTTTTTTGTTTACATTAGCTTCTCCAATACGCTTCTCCAACAACAAGCGCTAAAATTCTTCGAGCGAAAGAAAACCAGCGCCAAAATTCATCGCCCCTTCTGCTTCATCGTTGCCGTCTGTTCTTCACCTCAGTGTTGCGTCTGCATTCCTCAGCCATTTCTTCCTGCAACAAATGTTTTTTTTCTCATTTTCCAGCTACCGTATGAAGAACGAAAGCTATCATCTTTTCATCAAACCATAGCCATTTTTTACAGTGGAAAAGAGATCCATTTTTTACAAGGAAAGGGAGATTAGAAAGATTTGTGCAGGTTAATAAACGATTTTTAATAATTTATGCTTTATTTAGTTTTTTACAGTGGAAATTTTTATATACTTATCCATTTATTTAGTTTTGTATTTTTTTGGATTGAATATATGTTACAATAGAAAAAAACCGATAGAGAAAATTTGTTGGTGATTGTTATGAATCAGATTTCGTGAACGTGAACACTAGTATTGGATTTGCATTAAATTACATAATATAAGAGGTCCATTTTGGCTCAGAATATAGAAGAGTCCAGTTTGGCCTCAGAACATGAAGAGTCAAGTTTGCCTCATTTCAATAATGTTGAGGTAAATTGTGCTCAAAACGTACTTTTTCGTTAAAATGATTTTAAATTTATGTATCGTATTGTTTATTTTGATATGTTGTATTAGTACATTCTAATTTTATGTATTATAAACTATTAAATCAGGAAAATGAACGTGATGAATTAGAAATATGAGATGTTCAAGGAAGAAGTAGAGCCTCATTTGAATGGTTTTGATTCAGTTGATAGTCTGGTGAAGTATTACAAACGGTATGGTAATAAAATAGGATTTGAAGCATGATACGTATGTCAAAGAAAGGCGAAGATGGAGAGATGAGATATGTGACAGTGGCATGTCTTGTTCTGGAAAGGAGGATTAAGTCCAGAAATACCTTGAAAAAATAACCTGTTGCCAACACAGATTGTAAGAGTCGGATTAGTGTAGCTTTGAATGGTGAATGCAAATGGGAAATTAAATCAGTTGTACTTGAACATAACCATGATCTTACAAGTCCGACAAAAGAAGATATTTCAAGGTTATCGAACGATCAAACCTTATGTGAAAAGGCGACTTGAAGTCAATGATGTGGTTGGGATTAGACCGTGTAAAAAATTTCAGTCATGTTCAGTTGAGGCAGGAGGGTAGAGAATTTGACGTTTCCAGAAAAAGATTGTAGGAACTACATTGAAAAAGTGAGAAAGTTATGACTTGGAGTTGGAGATGCTTCCACAGTACTTGAGTATTAGGAAAATGCAAAGGAGAATTCAAATTTCTGGTACATGATTGATGTAGATGAAGAGAGTCGATTCAGAATGTGTTATGGGTTGATGCTAGATGTAGGGCTGCATATAAAGAATTCGGTGATGTTATCACCTTCGACACAACGTATCTGCGAACAAGTATGACATGCCATTTGCTGCTTTTGTGGGGTTGATCATCATGGACATTCGACGTTGTTGTTGTTGTGGGTTAATTTCTCATGAGGCACACTAAGACATTTGTATGGCTATTTCGTTCTTGGCTTGAATGCATGGATGTCGCTCCTAATGGAATAATCATTGATCAAGATAAGCCATGCAAAATGCAATTGAGATTGTTTTCCTTGGTACAAGACATAGTGGTGGTTTGTGTCATATAATAGAAACTACCTGAAAAGTTAAGGGGGTATAAGGAATATGAAACTATCAAGTTTAAGTTGCAAAATGTTGTGTATGATTCCTTTACGAGTGAAGAGTTTGAAGACGTGTAACCATTTGTTGATGTGCACAACCTTCACGAGAATGCATGGTTATGTGGTTGTACAAGAAAGAGTACGATGGGTGCCTGCATTCTTAAAGATACTTTCTGGGCAGGTATGTCTACTACCCAACGTAGTGAAAGTATGCATGCATTTTTTTATGGTATGTCAATTCCAAAACCACTTTGAAACAATTGTTGGAACAATATAATAATGCATGCGAGCTAAAGTGGAAAAGAAAGGAGCTGATTTTAGATCTTTCAAATCTTGGATACCATGCATAACTAATTACCCCATTGAGAAACAATTTCAAAGTGCATACACAACCGCAAGTTTAAAGAGCTTCAAGTGAGATTGCCGGGAAGTTTTATTGAGTTATCTTTTCTGAAAAAATGTGATTCATGCGAGGAGTTTCAAGTTTGGGAAGATGTTTGTTTTGGAGATAATAGTCGCCATGTTCCTCATGTAGTATACTTTGATGAAAGTTCATGTGATATTCGTTGTACTTGTCATTTGTTTGAGTTCAGGGGGATTATTTTACATGCCTTATGGTGTTGATTCATAAAAGGGTTTCACACAGTTCCGAAAAATACATTTTACGCGTTGGGGAAGAATGTGAACAGATGTCATATGAAAATTAAGGTCAGTTATATAGGTGGAGCACCAACATGAAGGACAACGTTTCGATAAGTTTCTAATTTAATGCTGACAGTAGCGGATCTAGCATCAAACATGAGGAAGATTATAATATATGACGAGTTGTTTATGATTGACATGAGGAAACAGTTGGAGCAAAGGAAAGTGAGGGAGGGCTTGGTACAACATGAACATCTCTTCTAAACCGTTTTGACTAGTCAAAATGGGGACGGTCCTCCTAAAGAGGGGATACCCAATCTTGTCCATAGGCAGCTCGTAGCAAAGGTCGTCCTCCATGTAGAAGAAGCAGTCGAAGATTGAAGAAATTGTACGTAGGGTTAAAAGAAAAAATTACAAAAACAGAATTGGTATGACTAACATTATTTCAGTATTTTTTTGAAACATTATTTACTATTTTGAAGTTTTAGAATAATATCGACTTGATTATTATGTGCTATGATACTTTTTAGGAAAAAGGATCATCGGTACAGCGACAATAGAAACAGTTTCTTTCATGTACTTCAGTGGCCGATACGGAAACTCAAGTGTTGTCAAATGATGTTGTTACTACATAGATAGGTGTTTATATCTTGTATAATTGTAATTGCCTTAAGTTTTCTATAGCATGTGCTAATTGTGGTTGTTAACAATGACAGATGTCCCCTGGTCCAGTTCCAAATATCGCAGACAAAGTAGTTTCTTACTGGACAGGATTTTGTAAATGATGCTGTCTCGTTGGGAGATGTTTGATATTTTGCCAGGTTGAAGCATATAGAATTGTATTTGGTAGAAATTTTTCATGCTTGGTTTAATTTCTACCGAATGCAGTTGAGTTGTATGCTTATACTTGTTTTTTTTTTTGCATTTTCGTCATTGTTGTGTAGGATAGTGAATTCATGATAATGACGTTAATGTAACTTATTATGAATGTTTTCAGTATATATTTATCACATTGCAGACTCCGGTTGTACATGGCATTTTGATATGCATTTCTTTTGAGATTTGATTTTTATGTCTTTGGGTATGTCTACTATTACATATACATATAACTTGAAAAGAGTGTTTGAGATATGTTAAACAAAAGACAATCTATTTTAACAAAAGACATTTATTTATAAACAAACTACAATCTTTTTAACAATATCCGCTCAAATCAATCTATTTATAACAAAAGGAAAAATTCTTCATCATGGTGCAGGGGGTGGAGGTTGACTGAATGAGGCTGTTGAGAAGTTCTTCATCATGCTGAAAATCTTTGTCATACGGTCTCCAATGATGTAACTATTTCTTCAATTCTTGATGCAAACATGTTGAAATCACTTTGCAGATCTTGCATGTGCCTCTCATATGTGAAAAACGCTCCTCTGAACTTTTCCATCCGCTCAAATCTACTTTCTATTCCCTATGAAGCATGAGAACCATATCTTCTACATTTTCAGATGGTCCAGGTTCAGTACCCATTCTTCTTCTTTTGCGCACATAGACTTGTCCTTCAGTAACCCCTTCTGGAATCTGACACCTTCTTGAACCGTTGCATCTCCCTCCATTTCATCCCTAATCATATACCATTGTCCTGCCACATTCTTTTTAATCACCCCCATTCTATTCAATGTCACATCCGCCAACACATTAGTTGTAGAACGTAATCTTATTTGTTGCATCATCAGGGGTGTCTCAATATTCAACTTCTCATATATTAACGTAACCAGCATCCCCCAATATATTTCTCCTTTTTCTGCGGTGATCTCTCCCAACTTCTTAATCAATACTTTGCTGAATTAACTTGCCTCCCTGCAACTGCTGCTTCCATGAACAATAAATCCTTAACCGTCACATTTCCATTTGTCTCTTCCTACCATTAAATGTGAAAGTCAGTATCTGTGAAATCACTCCATAGCAGGATTCTGTAATTTTGTATATTACACATATGTGATGGTAAGTCCCTATTCCGGAAACATCAATCCAAGCTTGTTTGGAATCCTAGTTTCTGGTACGTTTTCCAAATCTTCACAATCAAATCCTATCCAGGTTGCTAAATCTTGGGGTGTCACTACAAAGTTCTATTCTTTAATTTAAAAACATTGTATACGTATGAAACTCATCACTGTCTGTCTCTACAACTTCCAAACTATCAAAACTCATATATCAAATGCCTATATCTATCATATCTCATACTGACCAAACGGTCCCATTTCAAATGATTAATCCAACCATTGATTTCATCACCTAAACCTAAACTTGTTGGAAGTCTTAAATCCAAACTTCTTCCAAGCAATATCTCTTTTCGACACGTCCTCGTATTGTTTTTTAGTCGCCAGTCTCGAAATTGAAGTGCAAATGAGGATGTGCCTTCCTGAGGAATGGTTGTATTTTTTGCCCTCACCATTTTCTGCTTTCTTCTAAAACCTATATACATAAAAAATCGTCATCATAATCTACCAAAGACACAGACCCAATTACTCTTAACGTATACACCTTTGAGATAGAACAAGACTTTACAGCATGAAGACATTTCGAAGAAGATTCTAAAGCACAAATGGCAAAAGGTCGAATTGTGAAAAAATGAGCAGCATGGAGGCATTATCCGATTAGGTGGAGACCAGTAATAGAGCATTTACACCTTTACCATTTATACACCATCACTTAATAAACATAAAGAATTGTAAAATAAAAGTTTAAGGGTTTTTCTATCAAACCCCACATGTTTGCCATTCTTTGTCAGCCTAACCACAATTTTCCAATTTTTCCAGAGTTAGCTAAAGATAGGTGAACTTGACATTTTCAGGCAAATGCCTAATGAATTTATGAATGAGTATGAGAGTGCATCTATCAGAGTCACACACAATATTGAATTCAATACCATGTGGACTGAACTTATAAACAAATATGGCTTGAAAGAGAATCTTTGGCTCAACAAAAGTATGAAAGGCGTGATAGTTGGGTTCCATTGTACTTACGTGGCACCTTCTTTGTTGGCATCCCAATGGTGAAAACACTGAATCTTTCTTTGACACAACTTTACTGGCCAGACACCACTAAGAGAGTTTATCTCACGATACAATCAACCTTGAGAAACGGCGAGAGCAGGAAAGGAAAGAAGATTTCAACACACCTAATCTGCAGGCGGTTCTACAAACAAAGGAACCAATGGAAGAGCAATGCAGAAGGCTTTATACACTAGTTGTTGTCAGTGATGTAGAATCAAGGGTTTAGCTTTCAAGAACTCAGGGCCATAATGTTGTGGAGTTTAGAGAAACAGCATGTAAATACATAGAATCTGGGACAGGATCTTTAGAAATACAAACTTGCCTATAAGATAATGAAGAAGGCGGGAAACAAACTTTGTTGCAAAGGTAAACACATCGGACCCGAGTTCAGTGAAATTTTTGTATTTTGCACTACCTGTTTGGCTTCTTTCTATCTGAGTCTTAGTTATGTAACTAAAAATCATTGACTTGCTTTGGGTAAAATATTTTACAGTGTGTTTGGATCAAAACTCTAGCTATTTATGATCTGGATGGGCATCTCTTTGAATTATCTGGGCTGGAGATATTGTTATGCTGGATTAGATCATAATATTCAGGCCTAACACATTCATCCAATGGCGTGCAGTATAAATACAGAGAATCAAATTCAGACATTCATCAAAATAAACTACATTTCTCTTTATCAATGGCACAACAATTCTATTTATCAATCACACAAATCAGTCCCACCAAATTGACTGGATTTCTCTTCATCAACTCAACTCCATTTAACACATTCATCCAACTAAAAAAAAAAAAAATTGAAATTTTTTTTTGAAAAAGAAACTATCTAATTACCGATGGCAGATGACGAAGACAAAGAACAAGCGTAGAATTGCGAATCCAGAAGATCAACAGCGCAAAGACGAAGAACACCCTATAATGCAGATGGAAGACAAAGAAGATGGTAATGACTGTCTTTTACAAACTTCCCCAAAATGTTTTAACCTAACGCAAATTTTTTTTTTTAAATTTTAATAACATTATGGACGGCCGTCCATAATGAATGGACAGGTGTCCATTAAGTGTGGACGCCTGTCCACCATTAAGGGATGGCCATCCACAAGTTAGGGACGGTCGTCCAGTGTTAAATTTTTTTTTTTTTATTACGAATTACTTCCATTACTTACGGACGCCCGTCCACAATAAAAGGACGGTCGTCTACAAATTGTAGACGGCCGTCCATCGTTTTTATTTAGATTTATAAAAGCCAAATGCATGGACGGGCGTCCAAAAATTACGGACGCCCGTCCAAAAGTAAGGGACTGCCGTCCACAATTGGTGGACGGGTGTCCCCAAAGAAAATTTTTTTTTTTCATATTACAGGCGTCCATTATTTGTGGACACCCGTCCAAAATTAATGGATGGATGGCCGTCCCTAAGGTTTTACAAATTTTTTAATTGTATTTTAATCAGGGACGGGTGTCCTTTAAATGTTGACGCCTGTCCCTTGTATATGGATGCCGGTCCATATAATATAGACGGGCGTCCATGTGAGTGAACGGCCGTCCAAATTTGATGGACGACTATTCACTAGAAAAAAATTATAAAAAAATGGAGACGCGCGTTATACGTAGGCCGATACAGAAATTCGGTATAAACTTTTCGATGTCCGTAGTGTTATTGATTTGTTTGTAGCTTGATTGGTTCACGGTGAGCCGGCTGTGCCGACGTGGGCATATGAGTAACTGTAGCCACATTAAATTAAGGGCATTTTGGTCCTTATACAGTAAATTCTCTGTTAACCAATCCTATTAACGACTGTTAAATCTAGACTGACCTTGAACGGGTTAAAACCCTCTGTTCGTCTCACCAGTATAATCCTTTCTCCACCGACCCTCATTCGGCGTCTCCTTCCTCCTTCCTTCTCATTCATCAAGGTAACTCATTTTTTACTCTATCTTCTTCCTTCCAGTTGTTTCTATGGAGCTATATCTCGAACAAGTTTTTTTTTTTTTTTTTTTTTGCCTTTTTCAAAATTGGTCATAGTTTTATTTTAATTGTTTTGATCAGTTCGATTGGCAGTAATTGTAATTTCTGCTATTTTATTGTTATGCTATTACAGCTAAACCTTTTTCTTTAAACTGATTTTCTCTTAACTGAAAAAATTAGTGTTGCTTGCTTACTTAGAGTCGATTTTCTTTTTCATTGACTATAGAAACTCCACAAATCAATTCATTTTCTTTTTCGTTCTAAGCAAAACAGAATTGAATTCTACTAAGGAATCCGTTTCAAACTAGGTGACTGCAGGTTTTATAAGTTCAAAACAAGAAAATGGTGAAGATAAAATTTTTCTTATTTAGTAATCATACGTAGGATTTAAAGTTAACCTGAATATCGAACTCTGTTTAAATTTCAACGTATGTGGTATGCTTAGTAGGACAAGGCTTGTGAATATACTAGTTATGTTTCGTTTTATGTTAATTTATTTGATATTGGAAAGAAAAGTGCATAACTAATGCTTTTAGTATGTATATATTTTCATTAATTTTGGTTAAATGATGCTTTATTTGCAATGCAGGAGTGGTTGGATTCTCTAGTTTTTTACGTTGCAACGTATTCATGATCTTCCGTCTCCAAAAATGCCTTAAAAGCACAAGGTTCCACCTAAAATTATCAGTATCTTGTACCCTTTTCCATGCTTCCCTCAGGAATTGCTTTCATGCAGTTTCTTCATCTCCTTTTCAATCACAGTTGTTTAGAGCTGGATTAGATCATCAACAAGAACAATATGTAGACTCTACAAGACAACCTGACCTTGATGTTATCATTTCTAAAGTTCGTTTGGGAAGCACTGAAGATGAGGTCTTTCAATCTCTCAAGCAAGATTATGTATGTAATAGTATGCAGCTTTCTCATCGCCTTGTTGATAAGTTGCTTCGACGGTTCAAGGATGATTGGAAATCGGCGTTGGGTGTTTTTAGATGGGCAGGGTCATTTCCAGGATATGAACATACACCAGAGATTTATGATTCGATGGTGGACATATTGGGGAAAGCGAAACGAATGGATCAGATGAGAGCTTTATTGGTGGAAATGAATGAGAGTCGTTTTATCACAATTAATACAGTGGCCAAGGTTATGAGAAGGTTCACTGGTGCAGGGCAATGGGAGGATGCTGTGAAGACATTTGATCAGTTAGGAACTTTTGGATTGGAGAAGAACACAGAAACCATGAACATGTTGCTTGACACCCTTTGTAAAGAGTCCAAGGTTGAGCAGGCCCGTGCAATTTTCTTGGAGCTCAAATCACACATTTCACCCAATGCTCATACATTCAACATTTTCATCCATGGTTGGTGCAAAGTCAATCGTGTCGATGAGGCTCATTGGACTATTCAAGAGATGAAGGGACATGGTTGTCGCCCATGTGTCATTAGCTACTCAACCATCATTCAGTCTTATTGTCACCAATACAACTTCAGCAAGGTCTACGAGCTGCTCGATGAAATGCAGGCTCAAGGCTGTCCTCCAAATGTTGTAACTTACACCACTGTCATGTGTTCACTAACAAAGTCACAGGAGTATGAAGAAGCTATACAAATAGTTGATAGAATGAAAATGGTCGGTTGTAAACCTGATACACTTTTTTACAATTGCTTGATCCATACTCTGGGGCAAGCTGGTCGAGTCCAAGATGCCGTGCATGTTTTCCAGGTGGAGATGCCAAAGAATGGTGCAACCCCTAATACCTCTACCTATAATACCATGATTGCTATGCTTTGTCATCATGCTCAGGTAGAGAATGCCTTTCATCTTCTCCAGGAGATGGAGAATGTAGAATATTGTAAGCCTGACACTCAGACATTTTTCCCATTGCTCAAATCTTGCTTTAAAACTGGGAAAACAGATATTTTCTTGAGCCAATTATTGGATGACATGGTTAATAAGCATCATCTGAGTATTGATGTCTCAACCTACACACTTTTAATTCATGGGCTTTGTAGAGCCAACAAATGTGAACAGGCTTACCACCTGTTTGAGGAGATGATCGGTCAAGAGATAACACCTAAATACCTAACGTGCCGTTTGTTATTGGATGAAGTCAAGCTGAAGAATATGTATGATGCTGCTGAGAAAATTGAAGATGTCATGAAGAAATTATAATCGCCCAATTGCCCGGATGTCTAGGTGAAATATAATTGAGCTTAATTCCTATGCTATTTTCTGATGACCAAATTAATGGATTTTATGTTGTACTACAGCATAGATGTAGCTATAATCATATTTGGCATTTGTTTATTGCTTAAGGCATTAATGTTTTCAAGTGTGTAAATTTGTTTTGAAAATGTAGTACCCATAGAGGGTAATTTGGTATTTGAATTATCTAATAAAGAACACAGTATTAATATTAGCTTTGAATTTTTACGCTCTGAGCATTATTTTAGGTATTTCTGTTACGTTAAATAATATGGTAATGAAATGCGAGTATATAAAGATTATGAATATTTTCTGATCTTATGAAAATTTTGTATATTTCAATGAATTATTGATTATTTAATCATTCTTTGGCTGTGGCAGAATTATCAAGAGGTGTGAAAGCTGGCTGCTTGTGATGGTCATCATTCACAGAACCACAAATAAGCAGAAGTTTAATTAAAGTGTAGGTGATTACTAACACCCCTTCTTCCTTTAAGATTTTCCATGAAATTTCTGACTTTCTTTGTCATTTAACATAACCTGTTGTTTAATATATTGATTTTCGCAATCATACAAAAAAAAAAAAAAATGGCAGCTTTCACATGCCCTTCTTTATGATTATTGTTATTATGTTTTTGTGTGTTTTGACTCTTTGGTTTTCATAGGAGATACTGTGTTACGTGATCTTGTCCATTGGATCCAATAATGAGTCAATTGAATCAGACATCCCGGGATCCCATTATGTTTTTTAACATATGAAAGTGAAAATGGACCCAAGCACTAGACCCACGGCACCTCCTCGTTTTAGTAAAACCATGTGCTAGATGGGGTCAGATTTTTTAACTGATGCAAATTGTTAAGCAGTAATCAAATAGATGTTTTCTTTTTGTATTATCTGGGGTCAGTGACAACTACATCTACAGGCCTTCCTTGCCCTTGTCCCTTTGTGCTTATTTTTTATGCAGGTTCTCCCATTACAAGTTTGATTTGCCTTTGATTGTTGAAATTGATAAACCCAGAGCGAATTCCCTTAAAACAATTGATATCCACTCAAGTCAGAGGCTTAGAGGGGAAATTTTGCTTTAATAGAGTCAGTCGGCAGATGGAACATATCACTCTGAAATCATCATACATAAGCCAAAACTCCCGTTTCCACAATCACTTCCATTTCCATAATACGCCAATAAACAGGTGCAGTAAAACGCCCAATACCAATACTATACTATTATTTTAAACCTTGATAGAACTTTGAGAAAGCGGCAATGCATGAAAATGATCGAAGCCGGTGACAAGATTACAGAACAGACACAGATTATTACAATAACATTTGAACCAGTCACTGTAATCCTTGCTCGATGATTCAAGTGTAAAAACCCCCACTTTTGCTGGATTGGGTCTAGATACCTAGCCCAATTCCAAGGAACCAGAATCGGTCTGTTCCTTGGATTTGGAATTGGAATCGAAATCGATCGATTTCGGTTCCTGGGTACCCAGAATTGGAACTTGTGTTACAGGTTTCGGTTCCAGTTTCGGGTATCTTATAAATTTTTATACGCCTTGATAGTCTAACCGGAACCGACGGTTCCGGTTCCTGGGTACCCAGAATTGGAACTTGTGTTACAGGTTTCGGTTCCAGTTTCGGGTATCTTATAAATTTTTATACGCCTTGATAGTCTAAAAATGACAAATATACCCTAAAAAATTAGTACACCCCTAAAGGTTTATAAAAATCACAAATACACCCCAAGTACCTGTTGGTTCCACCTCGGGTACCCAAACCTCAGTTCCGGGTTTGGTTCCTAATTCTTGAAGTGGTGGAACTGGACTCGGACCCGCATAGGGTTGATTCTACCAAATTTGGAATCGAAACCGACCCTATGTGGGCTAGTTCCGTTCCTACCCAAAGCTGGTTTCAGTTCTACTTTTTACCCATGCTTACCCTGTAATATGTGGCCAGGAACCAAAGTGTAAAGTTGTATATGCATTTTAGGGTACATGCACCGGGAAACACTTGAATAACTAGAAATGAAACTGTGCACGTGCCTCAGATCCTCATGGTAGTGTAGTAATTGACGGAGAAAAGGGTCTCCATCATGGAGTGTTCCCCTAACTACTGGCCAGTCTTTTTATTTGTACTCCCAAGCAGTTGTTCCGCACTAAGAGAAGAGACATCAAGTGTTCAACTGCAAATAATAATTATATCAAAAGGATAGCTATTTATTGACATTTAGTTCTTTGTGGCTCGGTGGCTCCCCCTTCATTTCGTGCATGGCCTAAACAACTTCTCTTCCTTCTCTTATCTTTTCATGGCAAACTAAAGAAACCATGCATTGCATATTTGCATTGACTTGTTCAACTTCAACCCACCTAATATTCTCCTGTCCTAACTGGACAAGTACATGGCCTCTTTAATCAGTTTTCAATGCAATTAAAAAGACTAAATTAAGTCATTAACCACTGGATACATTCTTGCCAAACTTGCATAGTTGGTAGATAAACCTGCAAAATGACAATGTCTTGTGGGGACTATGCAAATAAGTATAAACAAAAGGGGTTTTCTAAAATATGGCAATGAAATCTAGAATGCATGTACCTACCTGTCTCTGTTTTTGTGATCTCCATTTCCAAAGAGTTAACTGAATCTATTAAGGTTTTTCTTTTAAAAGAAAATTTCTAGTTAACGTCGTCATCACTTGGATAACTATTCTTTCTCTCTCTTCACTGCCCCTTCACGGATATTTATAGGAATCTAACTTGTTTTTAGTTATTTTGGGCCAACTTTCTCCACTCTTTTTTTCCCCACCATAAAAAAGTGCTACAGAAAATCTACAATCAAGTGATCAATCTTCCGTTGTCATCTTCTGCAAAACAGTTGAAAGTATGAAGCTTCCTTCCTCATCTGTATTTCCTGTGAACCACAATGCCTCTCTTCGTAATAGCCTCCTTTCATCATCGTGAAACTTCTTTATCAATTGTTCATAACACAAACGTTAATGGTTCCATCTCTTTTAATTAGGTTTCAACTCTCTATTAAAGCTCGAACTTTCTTCTACAGAGACCAGTCATATCTCTCTTTTTTTCCTTTAGTTGTTAGGTGCTAGCTCTCTTTTGTGAGAATAAATTCTTGTCTCTGGATTCCAAGATTCCTGGTACCTTTATCTTTTCACAAACTTTACCATATAAAGAATCTTTTTGTTCTGTACATTCTTAAACTGGCTTCACTTTATCTGTGTCTTCTTGATAGTATCTGAATTCTGTTATCACTTAATTGTCTAAACAACTGGTATTCAAGTTGAACTATCTGCTACAATGCCTCCCTCATACTTTCCTCTTCGTTGGGAGAGCACAGGAGATCAATGGTGGTATGCATCACCTATAGACTTTGCAGCTGCAAATGGCCACTATGAACTTGTTAGGGAGCTTCTCCACCTTGACCCAAATCTCCTCTTTAAACTCACTTCTCTTCGCCGAATTCGCCGACTTGAAACTGTGTGGGACGACGAGGAACAGTTTGATGATGTTGCAAGGTGTCGCTCTCATGTTGCGAGAAAACTACTTCTTGACTGTGAAACAAAGAGAGGTCACAATTCTTTTATTCGTGCTGGCTATGGTGGCTGGCTTCTCTACACTGCTGGCTCAGCTGGGGATGTGAGTTTTGTTAAAGAATTGTTAGAGAGAGACTCTCTTCTTGTTTTTGGAGAAGGAGAATATGGTGTCACTGATGTTCTATATGCCGCCGCTAGGAGCAAGAATTCTGAGGTTTTCAGGCTAGTTTATGATAGTGCTACTTGTATCTCACAAGGGGAATTGGGAGAGAGTCATTCAGTTTTTAAGTGGGAGATGATGAATAGAGCTGTTCATGCTGCTGCTAGAGGAGGGAATTTGGAAATTCTTAAGGAGCTTCTTGGGGATTGTGCTGATGTTCTAGTTTATAGAGATGCGAAGGGATCTACCATTCTTCATTCAGCCTCCGGGAGAGGGCAGGTTGAGGTAAGGGTTCCTCTGTTTTGTACTTGTTCATGAGTTTATATTGCATAGTTTATGTCTTGTAGTTAGCTAGCTCATTATTAAGTTTTTTCATGTTTCTGGAACTGTGCCCACTAAGTTCGTTAGGTTAGGTGGTTATGTAGTAAAGATGTTGGTGGTGCTGTAAAGAACATTATTAGAAAATTAATTTGATCTTTTTGTAGCAATTGAGCAAAAATTTTACATGAGTGCTAATGCTTTTTGGGACTCTCTTAGCTTGATGTTTTGATATTTTATTTGAGTTGGTGTTCTTTCCAATTGGGAAAAGAGGATTAAATGTGGGAGGAAGGTATTCAAAACTAGATGCAGTAATTAAATGTTGATATATGGTCTCCTACTTGTGTGCATGATGTTAAGTTATATAAATGTTAGGCTGCCGATGCCGCTGAAGCGGCAAATGTTTTTTCATCTTTGCATTTCTTGAACTTGCTCAGGAAACATCTTGGTTTTCAATGTCCATATTGACTTTTACATAACCTAGATCCTAATCTGACAGTCCGGTTTTTTAATTTCAATTGAAATCTATGAAGTTCTATGTACTAAGATAACTACTCCATATTCACTTAGGATTTATATCCTTAGCCCTGTTATCTGAAGAAAACATGTACTGTGCTGTCGACTCATCTGGGTTCCTGAATAAAAGCTTATGAAAATTCTTATCTGTAAATCAATAGCCATTTACATGAGCTGGCTGCTGGCCTCTGGATTAGTAACGATTAGACTTATTATTTTTAATATTTGTTAAACTTACAGTTGTTAATTTTCATCCTTTTTGGACCATTGAACTAGGGAATCTTGTATATTTTCTGTATCTTAATTGAATCTTCACGTTGTGACTACATTTTCTGATTAGGGATGGCAAACAGCACTGACCTTTTTTAATTTTTCCATATAATGGAAATTTCGTGAAGCCTGTGCTCGGAGATTCAACCTTATTGCTCATGATTGCGTGTTACAACTCTCTTTCAGACTTCCTAGAAATAATCACTTACATTGTTATAGTTTTATTCAGGTGGTGAAGGATCTTGTAGAATCCTATGACATCATCACTGCCACAGATAGTCAAGGGAACACAGCATTACATGTGGCTGCTTACAAGGGATATTTGGCTGTGGTAAAGGTTTTGGTTGCTACATCTCCCTCGCTGATCTCTGTAACAAATAATTATGGAGACACTTTTCTTCATATGGCAGTGGCTGGTTTCCGGACTCCTGGTTTTCGAAGAGCAGACAGGCAGGTTGAGCTCATGAAGCAGCTGGTAAGTGGTAAAATAATAGACATGCAAGACATAATAAATGTCAGAAACAATAATGGAAGAACCGCACTGCACTTGGCTGTAGCTGAGAACATTCAGTCTAGTCTAGTGGAACTTCTCATGACAGTGCTATCAATTAATTTGAACATCCGGGATGGTGATGGACTGACCCCACTAGATCTACTTAAGCAACAACCAAGTTCAGCATGTTCTGAAATTTTAATCAAGCAGTTGATTTCAGCTGGAGGAATCTCCAATTGTCACGATAATGTGGCGAGACATGCCATTGTTTCACATCTGAAAGGACGAGGTATAGGTGTCAGTCCTGGATCTTCTTTTAGAATTCCTGATGCAGAGATATTCTTGTACACTGGTTTTGAGAATGCATCTGATGCTAGTTGTGATGCAGCAAGTGTAGAGTACAGTTCATGCCGTAGTGAACTAAGTGATTTTGACTCAAGTAACTCACTGGATGGTAAGAAGTTGAGTTATATTAATCATGCTGCAAGGCGTCTAAAGTTTCTTCTTCAGTGGCCCAAGAAAAAAGAGAGAAAAACTGCTAGTTCAGAGATGGGAGTTGATGATCCTTTGGAGGCCTCCAGTGAATATAAAATTTGGGAAAACATTCCCGTTCCACTTCGACAGAAGTATTCAAAATCTCTGTCTTTTCCAAACTGCAAAAGGGTTTTTTCTTTGAGGAGTGACTTACCAAGTCCATCTGCTAAAAAGAAATTTACTGCAGGGCTAACACATGGTGTGATTCAAGCATTGCCACATTTCATTGTTCCAGTCCAATCATCTTCAAGTCCTTTATCGGGGTCATCAATGTCTTCACCTTCAGCAATGGATAAAGAAAAGGGTGTTGATATTTCAGAACCCTCTTGCTCAAATCAGCCTCTGGATCGTAAATTTCCTCAAATGCACCGAAAACAAAATTCCTTGAATAAGAAGTTGATGAATCAGTATTTGTGTGTTGGTGCACAAGGCCTGGCAGTGGAAGTCCCGACTAGCTATATGAGGCCAGATAGAAGTTACAAGCATGTCAGTTCTTTAGTTGCTTGATCTGAATATGTCAAGTATTGTTTGTATAAAACCTACTAACATTCTGTATTAGATATACAGTCATTGATATTTTTGTGTGTATTTTTTTATGCAATGCTAAGAAAAACCTGGACTTGTGGAATATGTACAAGGCTTTTACTATATTTGTATCTACCAGTTTGTTGAGAGCTCAAAGTTACATAAATTTCAATCTGAAACAACTTTTTTCCTTTTCAAATCTTTTTAACCAGTTATAGTTCTGTTTTATGTTTTATTGAGGATAAAAGTACCCAGTTTCTGACACTGAAAATCTTTCAGTGATGAAAGTATGGATTGCGAGATTTGGCGTTGACAGTCGGTAATGTTGAAGCTGTACAAGATATCAAGAATCCCAATCATGAGAAGGCATAGTAGCACACAACTGGATTGGCTTTCCTTCAACTGTTATCTACTCTTGAGGTATTCATACCTTGTCGCTAGGCATTTTGTTGCTTCATCCAAGCGTTGAAACAGTTTCCCGGCTTGTCAAACGAGCACGGTTGCAGCTTTCTTTAATTCTTGTAACATATGTGATTCTCTTTTTCTTGAGTTTTTTCAGAACCCTTTTTCAAGTTCAAAACTTATTAATCTTTCCAAGTCCAAAACTAATGAGAGATCATCTAATTGTGACTTGTACAAAATTTTCCATTATAAGTTTTGATCTTGTATTGCATGCCTTAACCTACACCAGTGAAGACTTGGAAAAATAAACATTGGATTCTATGATTATGACACAGTTTTTCATGAATCAATTCTTTTTTTGCATCAAAATCTCCATGTTCGATTACATAACATGTGAGATGACACTTCAAAACTGTAATTAGGTTAAGCCTAACAGACGTAATCCTACACTAAAATTCGTTTAAGACCAACTAATGGCTAATTATAGTAATATTTCACTTAACAACGATATTTCCTCTTGGAGAATCCGGATTTATTGTCTTTCAAGGAACGAAAAAGAATCACAACCAAAAGATCATAGTAAATCTTTCTAAACAATTTTTTTCTGATATCAGTCGACTAAGGTAATTTTCCTTGGAATCTGGGGACACCATATCCACCAAAGTCAAAAGATTGAATCTGTTTTAAGTGGAAAAACATGGCATGATGCTTAAGAAACCTAGGTTATGGTGATTCAACACGTAAACGGAGCCACCCTGTCAACGAATGGTTGTCCAAGATTCAAGAATCAGTTAATAACAGAACGTAGCAGCTAAAGCCAACACTAACAAACCCACAATTTTGCTTATTATTAGCAATGCCGTTAATGGTTTATGTCTGACTCTTTATCAACGCCCTATCTATATATTGTAGCCATAGGATATGCTGTTCTGATGTCCATCATTCTGTGGCCAACATTGTCGAATCGAATAGCTTTAATTCTTTTCATTCAATTTTTTTAATTTAATTTATTTTTTGAATATGGCGAATCAGCCACAGGATGATAGAACATCAAAGCAGCAGGCCATTGATGATTGGCTTCCTATCACCTCTTCCAGGAATGCAAAATGGTGGTATTCAGCATTTCACAATGTCACTGCCATGGTTGGAGCAGGTGTCCTCAGCCTTCCTTATGCAATGGCGGAACTTGGATGGTATATATATTAGCCATTAAAACATAAAAAAGAATTAGCATAAGATCGAGGTTACCGAGTTTTTATGATTCATTTGTGTTTAATGAATTACAGGGGTCCTGGTATTGCCATCCTAATTTTATCATGGGTCATCACCTTATATACGCTATGGCAAATGGTTGAAATGCATGAAATGGTGCCTGGAAAGAGATTTGATAGGTACCATGAACTGGGTCAATATGCATTTGGTGAAAAGCTTGGGCTCTGGATTGTGGTGCCCCAACAGCTTATTGTAGAAGTTGGTGTCAACATTGTGTACATGGTCACCGGAGGAAAATCACTGAAGAAATTCCATGACACCGTCTGCCCCAGCTGCACACCCATCAGATCTACATACTTCATCATTATCTTCGCTTCTGTCCACTTTGTTCTGTCTCATCTCCCCAACTTCAACTCCATTTCTGGAGTATCACTCGCAGCAGCAGTCATGTCTTTAAGGCATATTACCATCCCTTTAATTTATAACAACTCGGTATATATATCACATACCCATTACGATTTATTCATCAATGGTTAATTTGTTTGCAGTTACTCAACCATAGCTTGGGCAGCTTCACTAAGAAAGGGGGTGAAGCCAGATGTGGACTATTCATACAAGGCGACAACCAACACAGGAGTTGTCTTTGACTTCTTCAGTGGATTGGGAGAGGTAGCTTTTGCATATGCAGGTCATAATGTGGTTTTGGAGATCCAAGCAACAATTCCCTCAACTCCTGATAATCCATCAAAAGGACCAATGTGGAAAGGAGTAGTTGTTGCATATATTATTGTAGCTTTATGTTACTTTCCAGTCGCAATTGTTGGTTACTATATTTTTGGAAACAGTGTCGATGACAACATCCTCATCACATTAGAGAAACCCACTTGGCTTATTGCAATGGCTAACGTTTTTGTTGTGATCCATGTCATTGGCAGCTACCAGGTTAATCCAATTCAATAGTCACTCTAGTCCTCATTATTTCGAAAAAAGTTTTAACATTACTTCCTCTTATTCTGGGAAATATTGCAGATATTTGCAATGCCAGTGTTCGATATGCTTGAAACTTTCCTAGTGAAGAAGTTGCATTTCAGACCTTCCTTTTTTCTTCGCTTTGTTACCAGAACTACATATGTTGGTAAATACATGCCCAACCATTCTTTTTTCTCTCCATTGAATGCAGACTGCTGATAATATAATTTCTTGTAATCTTTTGTTAATTCAGCATTTACAATGGTAGTGGGTATATGTGTTCCTTTCTTTGGTTCCTTGCTTGGATTCTTTGGAGGATTTGCTTTCGCCCCAACAACATATTTTGTAAGCATTGCTTTAGACATTTTCAAACTACAAAAGCTTGTAAAAATTTTTATACTATCAGTTAAATTTTTTTTATGCTTTTATGCTCTCAGCTCCCCTGCATCATGTGGCTTGCCATCCACAAACCAAAGAGATTTAGCTTATCTTGGATCATAAATTGGGTAATGTTCACTTGACCTTAGTCTTATATTAAACTTGTTTTGATTTAAGGGCTAAACTGAAATATACATATACATGCAATTGTTTTTCAGATCTGCATATTTTTAGGTGTTCTGTTGATGATTCTATCACCCATTGGTGGGCTAAGATCGATAATTGTTTCTGCCACAAAATTCGGATTTTTCTCGTAAATTGCTTTTGTGAGATAGAAAAAATGAAGCTGCCATGCGTGGATGAAGATTAGGAGGATTATGTTGGCTTATTGAGGCAGAGCTAAGCACAAATTAGTTTGTGTAATTTGGCTGTACATAAGAGTTGCTCATGTGAATGTGTATTTGTTGACACCTTCCTTAGTTATATGTATAAACAATTAGAAAAATATTATGTTTATTCACGAGTTGTACTAACCGCCTTATTATCTTTGTTAAAATTGCACATGGTACCCGTACTATGCATATAGTACTTGTGCTATACGTTATATTTACAAAGGATAGTAAGATGGTTAGTAAGACGGTGAGTAAGCATAGTATTACTCAAACAATTAAGCTCTCCTTCAACATATCATATCCTTATTTCATCACCTTGTACTCTTTCAAATCTATGTTAGACATTATAAATATCAACAAAAATAGTTTTCTTTTCTGTTTCATCTCTACTTTTGACATTTTAAAATATACTTGAGAAAAATAATAGTATTAACTTGCTTTAATTTTTATTTTGTGAATAATATTATTAGATAGATAACATCGCAGTATATGTCCGTTTGACATCCTTTGTTTTAAAAACCAGATCGAACCAGCCGGTTGGACCGGGACCCAGCAGCTTCTCTGGTCCGGTTCAGGTTTTAGGGGGTTTTTGTAATATTTCAAAATTGTAAAGGTTCATTTGTAATTTTATAGGGGTTTTTTAGAGATATGTCAAAAGTTTAGGGATAAATTGGTAATTTTTTGGGGCATTTTTTAAATAAATAAAATTTGTAGGGACTATTTTGAACTTTTTAGGGGATTTTTTGTAATATATTAAAATTTAAGGGATCAATAGTAATTTTTAAAAAATAAAATTGTCACTGAAGTCATCGGTCCAACCAGTTGGATTGGTTGACCCGTGACCCAGGCAGCAAAACGAGTTACCCTCCGGTCCAAGTTTTAAAACAGTGGTGACATACCCATCTTTGGGTAATTTAAGTGATAGGACAAGTGTTGGGTTGTGTGATTAAGGTACACGGTCTTAGGTTTGAATCACTTGATTTATGAGATTTAAGTAAATGATCATAGTTATCGTGACAGTGGAATACTGTGTTAGTTACCTGGTCTGGACACTTTGTGACATTTTATTTTATTAACTCTTAAATTTTTTTACTCTGTTTTGAAAAGAGTGTGTTTTAAAATAAAATAAATAATGTTATGTTTACAACTAAATCATACAACTAAGAAAAAAACATGGGACAAAATAGTCATTCTACGTTATGCATTTTTGTATGGTTGTATACTTGGTTGTATTATTCAGTTTACAAAGCCAAAGTTGTATGATAATTTAAAAAAAAAAAAAAAAAAATTGTTTTTAAAAAACATTTTTGGGATTTATTAAGGATGTATCCGTTATATCAGTAAAGTAGAAGGGTATAATAGTAATGTTTTTATGTTAAGTAAACCCGCCAAAAACACTGTAACCTTATAAATCTTCCCGCCATCTCTCTGTGCTGTGGAGCTCTCAAGTTGACGATAGAGAAACCCTAGATTGAGAGAGATAGAGTGTAACTGCCATGGAAGACGAAATCAAAGCAGAATTTCAAAAGAGCAGGTTCGATTTCGAAGAGGAGGAAGAAGTTCTCAAGAAATGTAACTTATATTCCTCTTTGCCCATTGAGTTTCTTTCGTACTTGCAAAAACTAATGCCAGTTCTTCGTTTCTTTTCTAGGTCTTACTTTCTGTATAAATTACAATCTCAAGCCCTCTGATCTCGTGACAAGCGGGGAATGGTTATTATCTTAACCGGTAATCTCTGTTTTTTTTTTTTTTTTTTTTTTTTTTCTCACTATAATTATATTTTATTATCTAAAAATTATCTAAATTGAGCCAAATTGGGTTGTAAACTTTAAAATTGAACAAAACAAATGCTGAATTTGGATTCTTGTTTCTTATAACTTTTATGTGCTTTGATTATTGTATTAAATGATTTTTTTTTTTTTTTTAATTTCTCTCGGCTGTGTAATGGGTTGGTTTTGGGCAGGCATTTGGATGAATCAACGGTTAAAAATGCTGAAATGGATGGTTTTATGCTGTATTTGCAAAATGAGCAGAAAGAAGCAGTCATAAATGAGGAGCCCGGTTTGCATATCTACTCAAGTAAAGATGTGGACATGTGAGCAGTTTTGTAATTATTTTACTTGGTTTGTTTGTTAGTTTGAATTAGGTGATATTAGATGCATACACTTTGCATTCTATTTAGCTGACATAAGTAGTCAGCTTCTTGTTCTTCAGGAACTTGAAGCTTTGAATTTGTAGTATGAATAATTCACTTTTTTTGTTGGGATGTCATAGCCAAGATTGAGCAGTCTGTTAGTGAACAGAAGTATATAGTTAATTTGCAGATTTGAGTTCTTCGTAGTTAATTTCCTATAACGTGAATGAATGATGAAGAACCTATAATGTAGGATTTTGAATGACGATGATGAACATATAACAGAAGATGATTTGGGCACTCCTACGGAAAAGTCTTACAAGTTCTATTCAGAGCCATTAGATTCAACACATAAAGCTAATGGGAATGGTTATTCTTCTGGGAAACCGTCAAAACTTGTGACACCCTTTGGGCAACGGACAGATAAGTTTGTGGTTAAATTCAACATCAATAATCTGCCCAATACAGAGAATGGAAGTATTGAACATGATCATGAGAACACTGAGGATGACTTCATTAAAAGGGTTCAATCCCACAAGCAATGTTCCTTGATTATTCAAGGATCAGGACCAGATCCAGGCTGCAGGTTCATGTATGATAGAATTGAAGACAGGGTATTTTATGCTTCTTATGGCAATAAAAACAGTTCTTGTTCTTTTACCTTCATTATGTGTTGCATTTACACAGTTTCTTGCCTATGTAGTTCAATGCTCTTGAAAATCGCATTAGAAAGCATGCAAATGCACTTGTTGCCTCTGGCATCTATGAGGAACTGGCGGACCCAACAGTTGCTTCGCAGGTAATATTTGTGCTGCTTCTGTGGTTCTCTCTCTCTATTTATTTATTGTATGTATATTAAGCTCTATGCATCTAATGTAATTTATTGCTTCAGAGAGGAGTATTTGCTGTTGGAATGATCTGTTGTGATGGGGAGGGCCATTTGAATGACAAGTCCATCTTGTTACAAAGCAGGTATATGTTTTGGACTTTACCTTTTCAAGAGCATCATCAATCTACAACCAGAAGTTCTACTGCTGTGGTAACATGTTGATCTGGGAACTGATGAAATTTTTTAGCCACCTGACAAAAAGGACTTAGGTGCTATATGTAGATGTCCAGGCCTAAGTAGGTGTTGTTGTGTTTTGGCAGTGTTGAACATTCTGGAGGACAACGCATTCGTCTAGACTTACATAAATTGGGCCAGTTTTCCCTTTTCCCTGGCCAGGTAAAAATATACACTAAATCAGAGATAGAACGTGATCCATATTTTTAAATTCTAAATTATACTGAAGATATTGCATTTCAACAGGTTGTAGGTGTTGAGGGGCATAATCCAAGTGGGCACTGTTTTACTGCATCCAAACTGGTAGATTATATTCCTTTGCCCACTGCTGTGGATGTCAATTTGCATCCTGCAAAGAAGCAAGCTTTAGATCAGGAGACACATTCAACTGAGTTGACCTCGAAGGCAGAAGAAATATCAATGGTGTGCTAGCTTGTCCTCTATATCATTAAGATATTAAAATAGTGCTGTTTTTTTATGCTAAACTGTTATGTCACTTCAGTCACTGTTTTCATGTTTTGTGTTTTCCATAAATGCATGTTAACATGCCTAAGACAAACAAGATTAGAACTCTGAGAATTTGAGGAATTTAAGGTGGGCTACTGAACGATAAATTTATGGCTTAAATGTATAATTGTTCTAGGAATGATAAGTGTGTTGAAGGCCCTTTCAAAATATAGGGTTTAAAAACATTCTCCTGAAAATGTATGAATTTCATTGTCTAACAGATCAATTTTTCCCTACTAAGGTAGAGTCTTCTGGTATGCTGCCTAACATGCTTGGAATTTTAGCAACTGCAAAAAAGAACTGAAACACGGTTCCTCTTTAATGTTCAATGCAATTTCTTGATCCTTGTGGATACTTAACACAAGTTTTTATTTTGAAACAGATCATTGCGTCAGGCCCTTTTACCACTACAGACAACTTGTTTTTTGAACCTCTCACGGAGCTGCTAGCATATGCAAGAAGAAAGCAGCCGCAGCTGCTTATGCTAGTATGAATTCATCATTCATTAAATGATGACTGTCTGAAGAATACTGCTGTATTGATTTACAACAGAAACTTAACCTTCTGTCTTACTGACTTTCTTCAGCTGGGCCCATTTGTTGATGTTGAGCATCCACACATCAAGAAAGGAACTATAGACACAAGCTATGATGAAGTATTTCACCTGGAAATTCTCAGAAGGGTATTTGCTAAAGAATATTGGTGCAAGCGATTTAAGGAAAAAGCAATTTATGTTTGTTTAATCTCTTTCTCTCTTTTGTATTATTCAGTTGCAAGATTATGTGGAGTATATGGGTTCTGAAGTACGTGTGATTCTTGTGCCATCTATTCGGGATTCCAACCATGACTTCGTTTTCCCTCAGGTGAGCATATTGGAGAGTAAAGAATAAAATATAAATATTCATGTTCTAAAGTTTTTATTTTAGTTTATTGAAATAGTATCTTATACGCAACATCGATATTGAAATATTACATTGTGCAGCCTGCTTTTGATATTCATCCACCTGATCTCAGATATCAGGTACATGATTTCATACAAGGTTCTTTGAACTTGTGGAGACTTCCAGGTCATTTTTCGTAACTTTTTTTTTTTTTTTTCCTCTAAATCTTGCTTGTTTGCTGTCCAGATAACCAGTCTAACAAATCCAGGAATGTTCGAGGCAAATCAGGTAATTAACAGTTATCTTATTTTAAAATTTTAATTTCCCTTCTTTGTATTGATTCTTATTTGTACTGGTTCTGGTTGCTTTTAAATGCTATGTGGATATTAATAAAAATGAGTATTTTCCATTAACGGCTGTGGGTTTCAGGTCAAAGTAGGTTGTTGTACTGTGGATGTCCTTAAACAGCTTAGTGGAGAGGAGATGTCCAGAATTCCTAAAGATGGGACTTCTAATGATCGTATGAGTAGACTCGCAAACCATATTCTTAACCAGCGAAGGCATGTAGTATTATATTATCTTTGTGGAAATCTATACACTTCATATAATACTGATGGGTCCTGAGGCTACAGCTGTTCAACAGTTAAAAGTGTTTTAACTCATCTTCAATTTTTCAAAACAGCTTTTATCCTTTATATCCACCAGCGGAAGGCATTCCATTGGACTTTTCCCTTGCTCCTGAAGCTCTTAATATCACTTCAATTCCAGAAATTATTATTCTACCTTCAGACATGAAATACTTTGTTAAGGTTAGTATTTGAGCAAAGTACCTAAATTTCTCTCAGCTCTAGCTTCAGTTTGAATACCATATGGCTTTTGAAACCAAATACTCAAATTTTTTGTGTTTTCAAGAATGCAATTTAATGCCATCCTGTTTCCCTTGAAGCACAGGTGTTGTCCCTTGGAGAGAATGAAGGGGAAGAGCAAAAGAAGTGCATCTGCATAAATCCAGGAAGACTGGCCAAGGGAGAAGGTGGAGGCACCTTTGCGGAGCTTAACTACCATGGAAGTCCAGACATGATGAATGCTTCAATTATTGGCATATAATTCTCATATTTCAATACATGTCTTTTACGCCGCAGTCTATATACTTCCTTTAAGATGATTCAGGAGCAGGTCCTCGGATCAGGAAGTCCTCTTGTCAAAATTCTCTTTTTATCTTTTCATCCTAACAACGGTAGAAGCTGCAATATACCAAACCAGGATATTGCCACATTCCAATCATGAGAGGGGAACTTGTCCTCGTGCTTCTGCTAACATTTGGTTGATTATAACTTATACGGTATAATGTAATTATTTGAGCTAGTTCAAGAGGAACCATTATTATTCATTTTGCTTCTCTTGTGCCTGTAATGGTACTGCATTTGGAAGAGCCAAGTAACAACTTAGAGTCAGATTTGAAAACCTAACGGGGGGTTTTAACATTATGTAGTACGTACAGAAAATAGACACCAATTTATACCCTATTAACAAGAGTTACTAAACAGATAATGCCCACTTGTTTGAATAGACCACAAGCCCTTTGGCCACACGGTTTCAAGAAACTTAAAAGGTGTAGATTGTAGAATACTCATCTATCTCAATTTCTTCGAAGCTCTGTTTCTGCTTTCCTTGAACAAGTCGAGCCAATTGTTGAGAATCCACAATATGCTAAGTGCAATTGCACTGATAATTACAACCATCCAAGAAACCCAAGCCCACTTTGGAATCAAACTATCAGCTGCCCCACTTATGTAAAAGACCCCCATCTTGTACACAAACAGAGGTCCAATAACCCCTCTAACGACAGAATAGAAGACGTAAAACGGAGGAGACAAGATTTTATACAATTTGGCAGAAGCTGGTACCCCAGCTTTCCGGAAACTGGCGAGAGTCCATACATTCTGGCAAGGACTCGTAATTTCAGCCAGAATAAGAAGTATAAGGATTGCAGATGCTCCATGATGAACCATGTAGCGACAAGTGACAAATACGTATAACGTAACCAAATGGTGGAGTATAAAGAGAACTTCACGAGGGTAGAAGATTATGTAGTGAAGAAGGTCCATTAAGAAGTAACCGATACTGAATTCAAGAACAATGTTCTGGGAAGTGGTGTTTGGAGAAGCTAAATTACCAAAGTTTCTTTGAGTGTTTATTATGGCGTAGGTGGCGATGAGAACAGCAGGTGTGCCATGAACTAACGAGATGAAGCAACTCGAAGCTCCTGCTCGTTGTTGTGGACCCCAATTGCAGAAAATTAAAAAATAAGCCAAGAGATAAACGAAAGAAAACATGATGAAGAAGGTTGGGATAGTTGGGGTGAATAGAAAGACGGCTGCCATGAAAACCGGCTGCAGGAGGGAGGAAGTTGTGGGCACTGCTTTAAAGTCTTTGACCTATAGAGGAGAGAACTTGATAGGTTTACAGTTGTTGAAGCTTTGAGACAAAGGAAATGGAAGATAATTTGCTATCAGATACAAAGTTCAAAAGCAAGTACGAACGGCGCTTAATAAATTAATATATTTTGATTGAAGAGAAAGGAAAAGCTTGGTGCTTCAATTGACAAATCTTAGCCAATGAAAGTAAAACGTGTACGTGAGTGTGAGATATTTTATACAAACACGTTATACTTTATGCTCACTTACTAGGATATTCGGATATTTTTGTTGAGGAGCTCCCTCAAAGGATCAAAACTTGCCATTAAAAAAAAAAAATAAATAAAAAAAGATAAAATCCAAATCCAATCAAATCTTTGAAAAATAAAGGTGGCGTTTGTTTTATTATTCCTAATCCTATTCCCAAATTACCTATTTATTTTATTATTTAGAAAATACTATTATATTTTATTTAATTCTTTAAACCCCTTAAGTTTATTAACTTAATTAAACACCCCCAAAAAAAAAGTTTAAAAGTTAATAAAAATAACCCCATCCACTCATAGTTGTCAAATTCCGACAACCATCATCGGTGGTGGCCGAAATTTGTCACAACAACCTAAAAACGATCAGAACTAGCCATTTATTCATCAATCTGGTCTTTTCGACCAAATCCATAGTGGATTTGACCAGAAAAATGCCAGATCTAACCGTCAACGACGACCAAAGAAATGGTCATCGTTGACGATCAAGGACGACCATAGATTTGGCCGTCTCTAACGTCTAGATCTGGCCTTTTATGGTTATCGACGACCAAATCTAGTCATAGATCTGGCCTTTTTCGACCAAATCCATGGTGGACCTGACCGAAAAAGGTCAAATCAAAGCACCACCGGGTAGATCCAATCAGTCTACATCATAACGACAGATTCCAACCAGATTCCAACAGTGGTGTCTGGAATCTAACATTATGATGAGTGGGAGTATTTTTATCATTTTACAAAATTTTTATATATTAAAGTGTTTAGTTAAATTAACAAACTTATGATGTTTTTTTTTGTTAATTTTTAAATTTTACCTCGTAATAATCACCCTATTCAATTACCTAATATTATTCTCAAAATCTTATCCAAAATAACAAAACAAGCGCACCCCAAGATGCACCCAAAGATATCTGAGTATAGACATGTGATGTGTCATTTTCCAGTTGTAATATGCTAAATTCTTTCACAACCATCAATTAGTCCACAAATTATATCAATTTATTAAAATGATGACTCAGCCAGAACTACTATCTTACCTTCAAACACACAAAAGATTTCTCCGTCTCCATTGGAGAAAGAACCATACTATACTTACTCACCATCTTACTAACCATCTTACTATCCTTTGTAAATATAACGCATAGTACTGGTACTATATACATAGTACAGGTACCATGTAAAATTTTAACAAAGGTTGTATAACAGTTAGTACAAGTGGTGAGTAAGCATAGTGTTTTTCTTGAAGAAAATAAGAAAACATACATTCATCCATATTCCTAAACAAATGAACAAGTGAGCTTGTCATTTACCTTATGAGATGCAAACGACTTACACAAACCCAACTTTCTACTACTATTTGATATGATATGATATGATAGCGTAAATTATTTTTTGCCTTTTTGGAATTCTACCAAAGTGAATAAAATAGCAGTATGAATCATCCGAAAACTACATTTCCACAACGCCAAATAAAGCCACAACCACTACTACAGTAACATGCTTAAATAAAATTCTTTCCAAACCTGCCTGAGTTGTTTATTATGCAACAACATTAAGTCAAAACTGCCTCAATGGAGCGTACACCAAATCAGGTATAGCCAGTTGATCTGTAGTCTGAGAGTTAGCAGTCAAACTCTGAAACTTAACCAGGCGCAGCGTGTTATTGACCTACATAACCATTCCTCCATCGATGGTGAGCACCTGTGCAAAAACAGTATCAAACTGAGCAACCAAGGACATGAAGTAGGGAGATGATAAAATAACTGACAAAAGAGGGTTTGCCAATGGCATGGCTATGGCAAGGCAGTTTGAATGGAATGGAGAAATTTCAAGACAAGGCGAAGCAAAGAACTATTAAATATAAAGGTGCAATTTACAGTATATATGACATTATAACAAAATAAATTATATACCTGTCCAGTCATGTAACCGGCAGCAGGGTTAAGAGCCAAGAATTCCACCAGTCCAGCAACTTCATCTGGTTGGCCATATCTTCCTGAATGCAGAATAAATTCATCATGATTACAAGCACTCTTGTGTTTCTTTTGCTAAACATATTTTTCTAATTTTGTTAATATTCTGTTCAACTTAACAAATCCTGATTGAATCGGTAAAAACAAGGAAATGAAATTGAGAGGGTTCACCATAAGAACTACAGAAATGTATTTTACATGGATACTTCCAACAACCAGCAAAATTGGTGCCTTCCAATAAATTTCAAGATTGACATCCTCCACCCATGATGAATGATGAAGGTTATGAAGTATAATTAAGACAAGAAAACTTTAAATCCAGCAAAGACTCAATGCACAGTGTAAATTGCAATAAAAGGAATATAGGACCGTATACATACAAAGAATAAACAAGAAATTTAAAGAAAAAAAAATCTAACTTGTACAATCATTTCTCACCTAAGGGGATTGTCTCCAAGATCTTCTTCTCAATGTCCTCCCCAAGTTTGGCAGTCATATCAGATGCAATGAATCCTGGTGCAACAGCATTGACCTGGAAGAAAATAACCCAGTAAATCTCATAAATGGGTATCAGCTGCTGGAATGATTGGGATGTGTCTGATCAAGAAAACAAAATTAATAAGAACTCTACACTACTCACATTAATGTTTCTGCTTGCGTATTCCTTTGCAACTGTCTTTGTCAGGCCAATAACTCCTGCTTTTGCGGCACTGTAATTGGCTTGGCCAACATTGCCAACCAGACCAACAACTGATGCTATATTGATTATCCTTCCCTGCATAATCAGAATTTACTGAGATGAAAATTTATGGTAAAATCACAACTTATCCCCTACAACTACTCATTTAAGTTTTTCTTTATCTGTTATTCTTGAATTTGAACCTAAAATGAAATGCTTCAAGCCAGCATTCCATAGCTCAATTGGTTCATTTTGCGAGCACAAAGTTCCATCCCAGCTTAATGGAGGAGCAAATACATAAAAAACAAGAGGGGCAAGCCATATACCTTTCTCTTCTTCATCATGATTTTGGCTGCTGCCTGCAAAGGATAAACTGTCTCAGTTCCAATAAACTTAAGCACCCAGTAGATAATTAGTAAGACGTTATAAAGGCACACCTGTGTACAGAGGAATACACCAGTGAGATTCAGATCAATAACGTCCTGCCATTGTGATTTCTTCATTCTCATCAGCAAAGTATCCCTAGTGATTCCTGAAACCACAGTAAATAAGTTAAAAGGACTTGATTGAAACCTCTAACTAAGAAGGTACAAGGTAAGTGTTTCCAATAACCTGCATTGTTAATCAATATGTCAATGGTACCCCATGCATCAGTGGCCTGCAGTAGCAACAATTGTGAGCATACCATAATTGAAGATAGGCGTTAAAACAAACTCACCATGAAAAGAAAATATTCGCTTACAGTTTTGATCATTGATTCCACATCAGCTTCTTTTGAAACGTCCCCACCGAAAGTAAGAGCCTGACCACCAAATGCCTCAATCTACAAAAATTTTGTCACAAAAACTGTCACCAGTCATTTCAGTCAAGCAGGAAAATCTGACAAGACCATTATGCCAGAAGAACTTGAGAGAATAAGAACAAGTACAGGAAGCGAAACACCTTGAATAAGAAAATTAGTGAAATACCAATGCTTGGCCAATTTTATCTTCAAAATAGTAATAGTTACATATGAGAGATTTTACGTGTGAACTTATAATATCAATGACAACATCAAGAAAGATGAGAACTTGACAATTAAAACCCCAACAGTTCCAGAAATACAAAAGCAGACAAAATACATGGAACCAAACACAATCATTGCCAAATAATCAGCTATATTTTCTTTAAACACAAAAAAAAAAAGTAAATAAATAAATAAATCACCTCTTTGCAAACTTCTTCAGCTTCCTTTGATGACCTAGCATAATTTACCAGGACCTGTTTAAAGACCAAAAATAATGGATTCACTTTTCGCTGGATCATAAGGTAAATGAAAAAAGTATTTACATAATTCACTAGGAACTTCTTAACATAGTCATTGACAAGAATCATGCAGGACATGCTTCAAGATAGTGAATGAACGCCTCTACTCAAGACGCCAAGCTCCAACCGTCCTAGGTTAGTTGGTGCCTGGTGGTTGATTTATCATAAAGCATCCTACTTTTTGTTTATTATTGAGGGAACAAAACAAGGCATTTCTGCTAATGCCTGAGCATGAGGCATGAAATAGGCCTGCTTTAACTAACCATTCACTAACCTTACATCCTGCTTTCCCCAAGGACAATGCAATCGCTCTACCAATTCCTCTAGAGGCTCCAGTAACTACAGCTACAGGAGCTTCTACATTTTGAGTTGTTTGACCGCTCGCTTGTTCAATAGTCGCAACCTGAGCTCTTACTCCTGCTATAACAATTATAGCCAAATCAAATCAACATTGCAACAAATCAGTAATGGACTCGTAATTATACCTTTCTGAAGCCACTAATAGCTTATCCACAAACAGATATAAGAACAATAACACTTAAATCATGTTAAATGTATTCAAAAAGAACTTCTCACGTACTGAAAACTATCATAATTAGCTATATCTTGCAGTGACTACAAGATTACACACAATTAAACTCAAAATTAGAAATTCCAGATTAACATGTTTCGATCAAATTAAAATCAATCTCAAATATTGCTAAATTGAGTGCCAACTAGATCCGAAAATTAAAACTTATCACCACTTGTAAAACAAGAACCACAGTACCAGAAGAAATGAATGAGCGGCTGCTGCCACGTCTACACTGAAGCCCAACGCAAGGCCGAGACGGAGCCTGAACCGGAGACCATTGGCGAAACTGACCAAGTTTTTGCTCAGCGAATTTGGCAGAAATTGCGGCGGATTTGAAGGCAACAATGTTGGATCCAGCAACGGCAGCCATGAGAGGACCTTTGGAGACTCCTCGAAGCGATAGAATCG